GATGTGTTTATATCTTACTCTATAGATAGATAGATAGATAGATAGATAGATAGATTTCTTATATTATTTAATGACTGTCTTAATGACATACTATACTATGACATTTCTGATGAGTTTGTGTTAATGACATACTATACAATGACCTTTTTTCATGACTTTTTTTATGACTTACTATACTATGACCTTTTTTTCTGACTTATTTATGACATACTATACTATGACCTTTTTATTAGGTTTTTTTTATGACTAACGATACTATGAAATTTTTTTATGACTTTTTTATGACATGCTATACTATGACTTTTATAATAGTTTTTTATGACATACTATACTATGACCTTTTTAATGACTTTTTTATGACATACTATACTATGACCTTTTTATTTGTTTTTTTATAACATACTATACTATGACATTTTGATTAGTTTTTTTATGACATACTATACTATGAACTTTTTTTATGACTTCTTTATGACACACTATACTATGACATTTTGATTATTTTTTTATGACTTACTATACTATGACCTTTTTTATTACTTTTTTGTGACATACTATGCTATGAAATTTTTTATGACTTTTGTTTATGGCATACTATACTATGACCTTTTCTTATGACTTTGTTATGACATACTATACTATGAACTTTTAATGGCTTTTTTATGACATGCTATAGTATGACATTTTTTATGTCTTTTTTAGGACATACTATACTATGGACTTTTTAATGGCTTTTTTATGACATACTATACTATGACCTTTTTTATGACTTTTTTGTGACATACTATACTATGAATTTTTTTCTGACTTTTTTTTATGACATACTATACTATGACTTTTTCTTATGACTTTTTCATGACATACTATACTATGACCTTTTTAATGGCTTTTTTATGCCATACTATAGTATGACATTTTTTTATGTCTTTTTTATAACATACTATATTATGCACTTTTTTATGACGTTTTATGACATACTATACTATGACTTTTTTATGACTTTTTTATGACATACTATACTATGACTTTTTTATTACTTTTTTATGACATGTTATACTATGACATTTTTATGTCTTTTTTTATGACATACTATACTATGACCTTTTTTTATAACTTTTTTTTATGACATACTATACTATGACATTTTCTTATGACCTTTTTTATGACATGCTATACTATGACATTTTTTATGTCTTTTTTATGACATACTATACTATGACCTTTTCTTATGACCTTTTTTATGACATGCTATACTATGCACATTTTTATGATTTCTTTGTGACATACTATACTATAACCTTTTTTATGTCTTTTTTATGACATACTATCCTATGACTTTTTTAATAGTTTTTATGACATGGTATACTATGACCTTTTTTAATGACTTTTTTAGGACATACTATACTATGCACTTTTTAATGGCTTTTTTATGACATACTATACTATGACCTTTTTTATGACTTTTTTGTGACATACTATACTATTAAATTTTTTATGACTTTTTTATGACATACTATACTATGACCTTTTCTTATGACTTTTTTTATGACATACTATATTATGACATTTTTTATGACATACTATACTATGAACTTTTTAATGGCTTTTTTTATGACATACTATACTATGACCTTTTTTAATGACTTTTTTATGACATATCATACTATGAATTTTTTTGACTTTTTTTGTAACATACTATACTATGACATTTTGATTATTTTTTATGACATACTATACTATGACCTTTTTTATGACTTTTTTATGACATACTATACTATGACCTTTTCTTATGACTTTGTTATGACATACTATACTATGACATTTTTATACTTTTTTATGACATACTATACTATTACCTTTTTTATAACTTTTTTTATGACATACTATACTATGACATTTTTTATGTCTGTTTTTATGACATACTATACTATGACCTTTTGTTATGACTTTTTTATGACATACTATACTATGACCTTTTGTTATGACTTTTTTATGACATACTATACTATGAAATTTTTTTATGGCTTTTTTATGACATGCCCTACTATGACCTTTTTTTATGAGTTTTTTATGACATACTATACTATGACCTTTTTTAATGACTTTTTTTTATGACATACTATACTATGACCTTTTTATTATTTTTTTATGACTTACTATACTATGACCTTTTTTTATCACTATTTTATGACATACTATACTACGACCGTTTTATTATTATTTTTTATGACTTACTATACTATGACCTTCTTTCAATTACTTTTTTATGACACACTATACTCCGATATTTTTAAATAGTTTTTTTATGACATACTATACTATGACCTTTTTATTAGTTTTTTTATGACATACTATACTATGACCTTTTTTTATGACTTTTTTATGACATACTATACTATGAAATCTTTTGTGACTTCTTTATGACATACTATACTATGCACTTTTTTATGACTTTTTATGAAATACTATACTATGACCTTTTTTTATGACTTTTTATGACATACTATACTATGACCTTTTCTTATGACTTTTTTATGACATACTATACTATGAAATTTTTTGTGACTTCTTTATGACATACTATACTATGACCTTTTCTTTGACTTTTTTATGACATACTATACTATGACTTTTTTATGAATTTTTTTATGACATATTATACCATGACCTTTTTATGAGTTTTTTATGACATACTTTACTATCACCTTTTTCATGACTTTTTTTATGACGTACTATACTATGACCTTTTTTATGACTTTTTTTTATGACATGCTATACTATGATCTTCTTTCAATTACTTTTTTATGACACACTATACTCCGATATTTTTAAATAGTTTTTTTATGACATACTATACTATGACCTTTTTATGACTTTTTAATGACATTCTATACTAAGACCTTTTTTACGATATTTTTTATGACATACTATACTACGTCCTTTTTTAAGAGTTTTCTTTATGACATGCTATACTATGTCCTATTAATTACTTTTTTTTACACACTATACTATGACATCTTTAATTACTTTTTTATAACATTTTTAATAACTTAACATGACACACCACTGATCTAAACTAGGAGAAAGTAAAGCAGATTTAGGGAGGGCTAATTCACTGGACCCAGCGATTTCTGGGGGTGGGCTGGACTGCAGTACACAGTATACTAGAACCAGACGTAACAATAATAGTAATTTGGTTATCAATTTATGATTCTAATTACATTTGCTAAGGATCCTTTAATATGGATGTCTGTTGTTGCCTTTCATAGCACAACTAATTCTTTTTATATTTTATCAGTATATTGGAGGGTACATTTTGAGCATATTTTGGCTTTAACTGTTCAATAATGTCTGATATTCGCAATAGCTCCTACAGTCAGATTTAGCTAAGCTCTATATTTTTCACTTGGTGTTAGGCCACATGATGTGAGAAGACTCCACTTACTAATTGTTTCCGAAAAATATCACAAAGGTTTCAGAACCGATGAGGTTAAGAGCTGAATGCTGTGCTCAAGATGAATTTAGCTCGCAGTTTCATCCATAACTCTGTTTGCGGTAAACAAGTCAACTCAAATAAACTGTACTAACTGATCATGAAGCTGTAGATGATTCACCCTGCTTTATAGCATGTACTGTCCCAGCTCATGTGCTCAGTAGTATCTTAAAACTGATTGTTGCATTTTATTTTATAGAAATAATATTGCTAATTTTTACAGGAAAAGCTGCTACTATTTACTATATATATGTATTTACTGAATCAGTAGAATGTCTAGTGTGTAAGATTTGGGGGCATATACTGGCAGAAAAGGTATTTACTATTCATAACTATGTTTTCTTTCTTTAATCATATGAAAAAAAGGATCTTGTTTTCATTACTTGAGAATGAGCTGTTTATATTTACATGCAGAGTGGGTCCTCTCCCACAGAGCTCTCCATGTTGTCCCTACAGAAGCCCAGAATAGACAAACCAAACACTGGCTCTAGGTAGGGCCAGTCGATTTTAGCAGTTCAGTCGAGAACACTTTTGTCCAAGAAAACTTTATTTCCATTTGCAGTATCATATTTGGCGGCATGGCTCTGTTCTGGGACCCATCTGCCTTTCCTCGGGCCAACGCAGAAAGCCTCCACGCGTCTAAGTGGAAAGCCAAGGGCGGAGAGAGCAAAACTTTCCGCCCTTCCACGTGCAAACAAGGAAAGCCTGAGGCAGAGAGCACGCCTCCCTGCCCTTCCATGCGCCTACATGGAAAGTCTAAGGCAGGGAGAGCAGCAGAAAAGATTCCCCGGGAACAGAACAAGCATGAATGATGAACAGAAACGACACTGATAAGTGAGATACAACATGAAAAGGAGGAGCTGGGGTGGAGGCGGGTTGCAAAGCGGCTTGCAGAGGAAGCAGCAACAGTAGGCAGACCAGAGGAGTTTAAATAGGGCACCCTGAATGAGATTCTCCAAGTGGTTGCATAGAAAGGAATCATATAATATATATATGTCAGCTGACTCCTGTCCAACAGTCAGCTGCTCCATCAGTTGACTGGGCTGTTTGAGATCAGCTGATGTTGCTGGGATGTGAGCTGAGCTTGACATCGTGTCCTGTCTGAACTAATGTTATGCTCAATTTAAAAATTGTTGCGATTCATATTGAGCACTTGGCAGATGAAAAATAATAAAAAAAAACATATTTTTTCTTAAATGCATTTTATTGATATTAATATATGTTCATTTATTGTTGACTGTTACAGTAAAAAATGAAAGAAAGAAACCAGACTGTGACAGAAACAGTAACTATAGTTTATCAGTCCCTCATACAGTAGGAAATGTTATCATTACATTTATTGATTTCAAAGAAAGTAACATTACATATACTGTATAATCACTACTCTTGACAATGATCAAGGTGCGCACAGACAATAATTTGTGCAGTAATTACTCTTAATGTCAAGTAAGATCTATTGTAAGCTGCAGGAAGCAAGTAAAGAATATTTAAAAACAGGAAATGCTCTACAACAGTGAGTATTATAAAATGGTATATTTTCTGTCAACAGTGTGGCTCTACAAATAATCACCAATACTGAATGATATCAATACCTTACACTCTAATTAAGCCTGAGATATTTAGTTAATAGAGTACAACATTTTGCTGAAACACTGGTGGAACAAAAAGCTTACATAATGTATACACAAACTTAATTTATGGCTAAATGTCAAATTGTTCTTGGATTGTTTCATCTGGATATTAAATCCCCTAACAAACATAAAAATACATATGAGCTCTAACATTGGTTACAGTGCCCTCAGTCACTCACATTCTGTATCACTCTGGTCAAAAAGACAAAGTCAATAGGTTTCACTGCTGCTTTTCATAAAAAGCTACTGAGACACATAATTATATCAATAATCAAACCTATGATAATTGCCTGCAATCATTTAGTAATTAAAATGACAAATATAGTAAAATAAAGTTCTATACAGTTACACATGTATAAATATGTCGAGCGTTTATGGTAAATATTTACCCATATCAAAGTTTCAAAGTGCTGTGTATAATCAGAGCTATGTTCACCTAAAAAAAGTACAGAAATCCACTTAATAAAGATGCAAAGTGAGATTAATAAACATCCAACTACAGCATCCCCTTTGTACAATATAACATCAGGTGTGTGATTTTAGGAAGTCTAAATATAAATGTAATTTCCAGTGCATCAGGAGCAAATAATCAAAGCCCAAAATATCATAACACATACTGTATCATCTCACAATGATAGGTTGTTTTAAAGTTGCAGGAGCAACCCAACAAACTTTATTTGATTTGTCTTTTTTCTCCAGAGAGATGTGTGTCCAAATGTGTGGCATATTATGCAAAATTTTATTTTCAAATCGGTATTTACACTGTACTTCCCTGATCAGTTGGATCAGCAGGAATAATAGTTGCCTCAGCATTAGTTAAGACTTCTGATATCTGAAGTATTGTTTCAGTATGTTCAGCTGCCATCGGATGGCAGCACTGTGATATTATTGCAAACCACAAAAGAAGATTACAGAATGGAAACACTGTTGCAGCCCCTGCAGGCTGCTAAATAAAAACAGCATAATTACCCACAAATACAGCATATTTGTGTCCATGGCTGCACGCGAGCCACCTCTGGTTAGAAGTGCTGTTTCCTCGACTTGAGAGAGTGTCTCCTCTTCCTCTTCCTGTGGCACTGCTCTCTCCTCTCTGGCCAGGGGAAACCGCCCTCGGCGGTCCTGTAGGCCTCATCGTACTCATCGCTGTCGGAGTCTGCATCAGCCGCGAGGAAAACTCTGTCTGGGAAAACTTCTTTCAGCCTGGAGGTGAAGAACGCCTCGAGGCTGCGGCCTGCTTGGGCCACCTCTGAGTCAGGCTGTGGTCAGAGAGAGAAAGAGCTGTTACACTCAGATCAGTGTGTGGGTGAAGTAAGGATTGTGAGACAAATTGTACAATGAATACACACATACAGGATAAACATTTTTAACTTACATAATTGAACTTTGCACAGTTGTGGAACATGAGATAAACATCAGAAACGAACTGTTCTGATGAGTTATAATGTCGAGTATTCCTCTTGTTGAGTCTGGCCCTGATCATGGACAGGTCCATGGGCCTCTTAATGATCTGGTAGTAATGACGAGCCTGTGTGAAAAAGCAGTGACATTTAAGACTTTTTAGATATAATTCACCCACACACTAAAGTTCTCTGTTCCAATGTAATTACCTCATAACTCTACCTGCATTCAAAATACATCATATCAGTGTTCCACAGATTGCATTATGTATCACTGTGACAAATTGCTACACACCTATTTGTAGGGTGCTTGCTTGAATCCTAATTTAAACCCAAGAGTGGATTATGAGACAATGGGCCCCTGGGCACAGATATGCAAAAGGCCCACCACTTCTCCACGGGAGCAAGACACACAGAATTTTAGTCACTAGGCATCTTTATGCGATTTTGTGTCTCTTTACAGTTTATTTGCATTTGTTTCTGGTCTTTTTGTGTCTGTTTTTGGTCATTTTAGTCTCTTCCTAGTCAGTATGTGTTAATGTGAGTGACATTTTTTGCAGGTGAAGGCCGGGGGGGGGGGGGGCACTGACACTTGGGCTCCTGGGCCTGTGCCCAGTAAGCCTGTTTAGTAATCTATCCATGTCTAAACCAGGCAATCCTTGTTCTTCTTTAAGATAAATCATGCTTACACAATACTGGGCCAGCAATGCATAGCAGCGCCGTGTCTTTGATTAACTACAATTGCAATTTTTACTGCACTGGTCACAAGCACCTGCTTTGGTTGGCGTGACATAAATGTTGTCATCCACCCAAGTCTGTCAGGGTCCATGCGGGCCCCTATGCAGCCCAAAACTTGTACTATACACGTGCTTAAGATATGAAATATATTCTCTTGTTCCACACTCTAGGTGGCGTATGCACCTCTAGCTGATTTGTCAAGAAGAAGAAGACAACACACGTTGGATGATTATTTTGAAGAGAGGTTGTGCGAGGAGATCGGATGTTACTCACACTTATTTAATTCATCTTTAAAGGAATGAACAAAAACAGCTGAGACAACTGGAATGAAGTGTGGATGGGGAAAGGCATACGTGTGGAAAGCCAGACTAAAACAACCCTCAATCAGTCCCTCTAGGATGTTGCAATGTTGTGATCGCAATAATTAACACAAATTCAGCCGATCCCTGTGAATTCTGCACAGTGTTGCAATTTTGTTCAGTTGCTGCAACTTTACTGCAAATTTGACATTTTAAATTTCATTGTAGAGCTACATACAGCGTATTGATTCTCCAAGCCCCTCCTCACCCCACTCTTTCTCTGTTTATCATGAGAATGCTGCTGCATGAGTGTGAGCTCCGCAACCAGGAGAACAGAGTCACACACACAGTGATAGGGCTAACTGTTAGCATTTATTTACGTTTATTACTGGGTGACATCACATTGTGCTGTGTTTGCCCGTGCTAACCAGGCAGAGGGATCAGGAGGAGAGCGGTTCACAAAGATGGTTCTTCAGTGTTGCATCCAGTGGTGGATGATGCTGTTGATGCTCCCCAAACCATCACCAACAGTTTCTCATTCTATGGTAAAAACTAAATGTTCAAAAGAAAAAGGTTCTGGATCTGAGACAGCATCACACCTTTTTTTTTCAGTTTTTACTTTCCTCTGCAAGTTCATTGCAGAGGAAACTGCATAAAAATACTGCAACATGCATTGCAGTTTTTTAGAAATGCTGCCATGAAATCAGACATTTCAGGCTGCAGCAATCCCAAAAACAGCCAACAAAATCGTGTAGGGACCTCTCAGTTGTAGTTTGAATGTACCACATGTGTACAAGTCAGTGGCTGTCTATAAATGCTCAATACAGAAGGCATGTCCGAGACTTTCAGTGTTATCTCCCTTTTGTATCTCATGCACGCTCACTATGCACATACATGTGTGAAAACAAAGGCAGAGAGGAGGGAGACTGCTAGGTGATGAAAACCTTCATTTTAACAATGCATACATTAAGATATTTTAAATCCAGCTTTGCTAAGAAGGAAATGCATTCAACGTGTTTATCAGCCCTCAGGGAAACATTGTGTTGTGGTGAGAAAACCTACATGTGAACACAACTTTAAATCCTGACAAATATAGCAGCAGTCAAAGTGTGTTCATGTACACTGCCTGAAACACAAGAAAAAACTCTTCATGATGTTGCTGTGTTCCTGTTAGTATTATGAAAAATAATGAGACTGTGAAAATGAGTTGACCTTCTCTGTAACTGGACTGTAATAAAAGGGTGAGCACTCACGAGTGGACTGACGGGCTCGTGGAAGGGAGCACTCAGGACGTTACTGAGGATCAGAAGAGTCAGCTGCTCGCATTTCTGCGAACCGAACATGAAAGAAAATGATGAATGCAGGAAAAGAAAACCAGTCATTATTATTATTATTATTATTATTATTATTATTATTATTATTATCATCATTAATGCAGCCGACTAAATGACCTACTCTCTGGTCACATGCAGGCAGTCCATGTTGCAATGCATGTTCTCCAGATGTTCTCTCATTCTCACAGTCGTACTCAACCTCTGGCTGCACAACGTCCCTGCACAGGCTGCACACCCAGTCGCCTCTGAACAGGATGACAAACAACATCAGATTAACAATAACAACTCCAAATAAACAGTTTGATAAGACGTTAGAGGATACTGTTGAATGTACTGTATAAATTTCAGGATACAGTGTAAGAAACTTACGAGGGGAAGCTCAGCAGAGACGGGATGTGGCAGGACAGATGATAGACTTTTGGACAGCGGTCACAGCACAGCAGGTCCCCTCCAATTAGACACACAGCGCAGAAGTCCTCACTCTCCATCTCTGCATTATCCTGGTCAGGCTGGACTTCCTCTGTGCCTCTTTGAGCGACAGGGTTTGCAATCAAAAGCGTCCTTGGAGCAGGACCCATGTGGGCTTCCTCTTCCAGGTCGGAGCGAAGCGGCTGTGGGTCGTCGGTTGTCAGTTCAGGTTCCGATTCTACTTCGAGCTCAGACTCCACAGAGCCCTGAGAGTCTGGAGGCTGATCGGATACAACCTCAGAGTCCGTCTCTGCCTGGAACCTGGGATCGTACTCTGGCTGGATGTCTGACTCGGTTTCAGCGTCACCTGATTCTGCATCAGCCTCCAGCCCTTGGCCATCCTCCGATCCCGCCCCTGGATCTGATTCTGGGTCTGCTTCATATTCAAGACTTGGCTCTGAATCGGCTGCAATATCAGTTTCACCGCAGAGCCCCATCTCTCCTGCTGCCGCCGATTTATTCCCAGCCAGACAGTCAAGTTCAGCCTCAGATGAAGACTCTGCATGTGGGTCAGAATCTAGTGATGAGTCTAGCCGTGGGTCTGGATCAGCCTGAGAAACAACTGCGTCCTCTGAGACTGATCTGGGGTCAGAGTCAGAGTCCAGATCCAGTGCAGAGTAACTCTGTGGCACATATTCAGGGTCAGTGGACGGAAGCTTGGATGCTTTACAAGCGCTGACTCTCCCTCTGCTGTCAAACTCACTGTTGGTTAAGTGTGGGGTAGACTGATTATGGTTCTGTCGCTCTGCATATGGTGGCGCTGTGAGTAAGCGGGTGTTCCTAGTGGTCTCAGAGTTTCCAGTTACCCCCTATATTTACAACACAGAAGAGAAGAGAAGACTTTTATCATATCTCATTAAATAATATTGGCTGTCTGAAAGCAGAGAGCTGAAATAAACATAATTTTAGCAGCGTGTTAACAATGATCTCTAGTGTTTTCTAACACGTATTAATTATTAACCCCACATCAAAAAACTGACGTACTGTTCGTCATGGAAAGGTATGAAATCATGTGGTAAGAATTTTTATATTGCACATGGTCTAACCTGTCTCTCTAGACCCAACAGTGTTGTAACGATACAAACTTACTTAAGACAAAGTTCTCAAATGGTAAATGTCTGAACACAAGCAGCCATACAAGATCTCTGACAGATTGTGCACCATCAATTTACCTCCGTTCAAAGTGTTTGTTTTTGCGACTGACAGGTTCAGATAATGTCTGACAACATTATGGGAAAGATTTTACAAGAAACTGAACATTTTACTTGAAGGTATCTACATAAGACTGACATGACATTGTCATAACTACGACATGACACGGTCACGAACCTGTCATGAACATTATGTACATGTCAAACGTTTATGACTGCTGTCATTAAGTGTCATTCGGTTTTTGTAATGACAAGTTGACATTGTTTGGGTTGTCTTGATTATGACAACTCGACATTGATTAAAATGACATTACCAGAAGTTGTCTTTGTCATGACAAGTTGACATTAAATTTGTTTGGGATTTCCCTATAATGACAACCTGACATTAACCAGGATGACATTACCAGAAGATGTCTTTGTCATAACAATAATAATCATTATGTCATCTTGTCATTAACACAAAAAGAGGTGCATTTCTTGTTAATGTCAAGTTGTTATGACAAAGACAACTTCTGGTTATGTCATTTTGATTAATGTCAAATTGTCATAATCAAGACAACCCAAACAATGTCAACTTGTAATTACAAAAACCGAATGACACTTAATGACAGCAGTCATATATGTTTATGACATGTACATAATGTTCATGACAGGTTCATGGCCGTGTCATGTCACTCTTATGTAGATACCTTCAAGTGTTACCCGTTTTTCTTTACCTTTTGTTGATTCGGTCTGGTTGTTAGTGTTTGAAACCAAGTCTCGCTTCAAGAGAAGTCTTGTTCGGAAATCTCGCGGACTATACCATATTGTCAGAATCAGCTAAATTTTCAGCCATGACATTTTAAATCTTTTAGATCACACTAAACTATGCTTTATGTACTCTAACACAAAAAAAAAATCCCATTGCTCCTCTCTAACTCTTAGATTTCAAGATTTCAGATCGAGACTTATCCTTGAGCGAGACTTGGACGCAATAACAAACAGACCAGTGAGAGGTAAGGAAAAACATTTTATTTCTGTGTAGGGTCTTTTCCGTAATGTTGTCAGACACTTAGAGGAGCAATCTGAGTCTGTCAGTGGCAAAAACAAGCACTTTTAATGCACAAATTACCATAAGGATTACATTGCAGCCTGTTTCACTGCTGCGACTACTGCGGTCTCTCTCAGTGCTGGACCAATTTCAAAAATTTCTGTCTTCATTTTTCACTTAGACACAAAAACATGGGAAAATAGGGTCCAGATTCAAAAATAAAGTTTCCCTTTAAATGTGACAAGGTGATAAATTAATATGGCATCAAATCACCTAAAAACAAATTTTGGCATGGATGAAAATATGTTCTTTTAAATAAAAAAGCTTTTGTTTGCTTCAGTAATTGTATCCCGTGGTGTTTTTACTGCTGTGAAAAAAATATAGGGTATCAAAATTATTAAAATGTATTAAATAAAAACAATGACTATGACCCATAAAAGAATTCTGTAATCTGACTGCTTTGTAGGATTGTCTTTCCTCTACTGTGTGTAAAGAAGTAAGACATACTTCAGGTGCTGCATCATGCCAGGTTCTCTGCTTCGGGAGAGTTTCACTCCTCTCCATGCCGCTGTCAGGTAAAGGGTCACTCTGCCGACGTCCATGTGGGGGGAGCTGAGACACAAGTATTTTGAGACGTTCCAAGCAAACCACTGGGACCCTGGGCCTTCCTGCGTCCTTCTGAACATCTCTGTTACTTTAGAGGCAAGCAGAGAAAGAAAACCACCTTGAAATCATATTTTCATGATTTGTGCATGAACAGATGTTTGACTTGGCAGCGGTTACACACCTGTTGTGGCTGTTTTTTGATGCCCTGAATTTTCCCTTGGCCTCATAATCAATCTCCTCATTTACATAAGCGAAACAATGATCTAAAAAGGAGAAAGATGATGAGCATGTATTCAACAACTTTGTGTTTTATCTATTTGAGGATATGAGAAATAATCGCATAATAAAATAGTATGTTTCAGCACCTGGTTCTGTCTTATAGGACAGTAGAGGAGACCGGTGGCCTCTGGGGGGCGCTGTGTCAGACAATGTTTCCTTGACAACGCAAAGCACCCCATCTGAAGCTCTCCTCTGTCTGGGATCCATGCTGACATACTGAGAACAAAATTAACATTATGTAAAAAATATTAGTATATGTATGTACTACTACTACTATATACCACTACTAGTATATAACTGGAAGACTTGCTGAAGTTGGACTTATGACTCATAAAGTTGGAGGAGCCTCACCAACCCCAACCTCAAAATCCAATATGGCTGCTCCACATATCAACAATAGTGGAAGCTGTAGTAATATACTGTTTATTAGCACTTCTGTCTTACTTGCGTCTCATTAAAACAGTCACTGTCCAACTTCTATCTGTTGACATGTTGCTACAGTGTTTGTATGTGGAAAATACAGCGTGATGCACTGTTAACAACTTGTATTGCTTGTTTTTCCCACTTTTTGTATTGGAACGCAGTAAACTCAGGTGTGACATCATTATCAGCTCTGACCTCCAACTTTTGTTAAATAAATGGAAGACAGCATTATTTGTCCAGAAATGACTTGAAAAAGATTTTTTGAAGATTTATAAAACCATGCACTCTTTTGATTGATGCTGAAATTTGAATTTTGTCAAAACTGGTTGGAAAAAAATTGGCATTACATTCATTTACTCTCCTGACAGACAATCAAAATATATTTGTATATGTAAAGCTACAGACTTTAAAGCCAGGGTTCAAAGTTCATTGTTGACATTATTTTTTTTCCATTTTTTTGAAGTAGTCTAGTCATTTAGCATGGCACCTCTAAACACTGTTGGACTCACAATTAAAAGTTGCTTTTTAAAATAAATAAATAAATAAATAAATAAACTGATGCAGCACATACAGAGATATCTTTTTAAAGCCTGATTACTATATTACCCACAATGCAAGGGCTATTATACTCACTGTACATGCTGCCACTTGTTGTCATCATAAGACAACACAATAATAATAATAATAATAATAATAATAATAATAACTCCCTGGATTAAATCTGAAGCTACAAGTCTTGGTGTGATCCTCGATTTAGATCTAAGCTTAAGGTTGAATATTAACAAGGTGATGAAAACATAATTTTTCCACCTCAGAAACAAAGCTAAGATATGACCATTTCTAAATGAAAAAGATGCAGAGAAATTGATTCATGCATTAATTTCAATCCGACTCAACAACTGTAATGCACTTTTTACTGGCCTCCCAAAAAACACCACTGGGAGACTTCAGCTCATTCAAAACTCTGCAGCTCGGCTATTAACCGCAACCAAGAGAAGAGGGCACATCAGGCCAGTCTGAGCTGCTCTGTACTGGTTTCCTGTTACATTTAGAATTGAATTTAAGGTCCTCCTCCTTGTATACAAAGCCCTACATAGGTTGGGACTAATCGCACTACATTGCTAACTCCCTTGTTAACTATTTGCCTCTAAGAACACACGCACCAAATCTATGGAACACACTACCTATAGATATCAGGGAAGCTAGCTCGCTGATTTTTAAAAGACAGCTAAAAATGTATCTGTTCACTTTAGCCTTTAACTAGCTCTGACTTCCTGATACAGGTCTGAAACTCTTTCTTTTCACGCTTTCACTTTATATTTACGCTTCACGCTGCTGCAATCTTCCTTGATTTTATGATTTATAGTTTTACAAGTCTATTATTTTATGAGCTGTTCATGCTTTTATTGTTAATAATGCAACTCAACAATTAATCATACTCGAGAAAATGATCAACAGATTAATCATTATTGAAAGTAATAGTTTGTTGGAGCCCTTACTTATTCAGTGGAACTGTGTATGACAGGAGAAAGCTGATCTGTTATTACTACTCCTTGTACAAAAGGCCACCACCACGGTGATCACCTCTATTCTATCTGACAGCTGAGCTGCACTTCCTCCCCATGTGTGATTATCTTCTGTTGCAGGGTTACCTTAGTTGCAGCCGCTGCCTGTAGGCCATGAGCGCATCCTGTGGGCCTCTCAGCATAAGAGCTGGTGGATGGAGCTGCCAGTTCTGCCGGGATGCTCTGGGAGCGTCTCTCCCTCCGCGTGCACGTTAAACTAGGGCTGAGCCTGCTGCTCTGCACGTCAGGCACACGCTCGTCGGCTGTCACCGACACCTCCAGGGATGTGGATCTCTGTCAGAAACACAAACATGCAAAACTGAGCAGGTTTCCGAGCTGCATCACATGCACAGATGCCCCTGCTCATGCCGTTAACAACAGACAGGAGAGAAAAGGAGTGGGATGTGCGCAGTGGAAACAACCTTGAAGCACACACAGGCACAGGCAGCCACCAAATGAACAAAAACATCATTCAGAGCCTGTTTTGAGACCGTTTCTAAACAACTCAATCCTTACAAACACAGCTGCATATATTACTGTTATAGCACAGGCAATAAAAGGTTTGGTTGCCACACCAATTATGACATGCAAATTCCCTATTAGGTGTGCAGTGTGGCCATTTGATTAAACCAGAACAGCAGCCACTCACTACCACTCTCTCCTTCTCTCTTTTATCACGATTAAACTAATGCAAGTGTCCTGAAAAGCTCCTTTAAACACCTCAGCTGTGTCTTCAGCTAATGGAAGCAGGGGGGCTGACAAATCATTTAACACTAGGTTCTTTTTTAACACGTCCCACCTTCCTCTTTTTTTTTTTCCTCTTCTTTTTCTAGTGCACCATCATACATATTCAGGCCAGGCTGACATCGAGCACGTGCTCCTAAGTATTACGCGATTAAAACACTTACCTGATCCGTGCCCCTTGGGAGAGGTATGCGGGATTCAGACTGTAGAGGAAAATAGACTATAATCCCTCTCTCTGGAACGATGGAGAGGTGTAGGAATTTATCTCAGAGTGCAAACCAGAACTGAAATCAAACTGGCAGTTCCCTCTATTCCCTAAGCAACTCATTAATGACAGGTTAAGTACATAAATGACTGCGCCCAAGTGGTTTTATGTCGTTTTTTCAGATGCTCTGTGACTTCAGAACGCGAAAATAATACATCTTTGTGTTCGTAAACGTGCACCCTGAGAGGTGATTACGTGGCTGCTCAAACCTCTGGCATCAAGTGTGGTTGTGATGAACAGTGCTCTGCTGGTTTTGGGGATGCACTGCTACGAAGAGCTCAGCTTTAATTGTCAGAGCAGCTCTTTGTTTCCCCATCATCCTTTCTTCATGAAGGCAGGAGCACATTTCTGTTGCACCATCTGTTTTCAGGCTAGCTGTCAACTGCGGGAAGTGATCATTCTGGCATTAAAATAAAGCACTCCTTTAGTTTCAGTCATTTACAGATATTAATTAAAACTGAGTGCTGCCTCAAATTCAACACTCTCTTTCAGAAATATACACTCACCACTTCCCATATGTGAAACGTTTTCCTGCTGGCTTTTGATGTGACTTAATGTCACTACATGATGCTTCTTTCTTATAATGGCTTTGTTACCTTCATCTTTTGTTCTTTGTTTGTCTGAGCAAGTGTTTGAACATCTGTGTTTTATAGGAAATGGGCCTGACTCTGACTGATACACTGTGGTTTTTGAGAAGTGTGTATAAACAACACTGTGTGGTTCACCATGTCATGAGTTGAGAATTGGGTTCAAATTTGTTTGAGGCCATAGAAACTTTGCAGAACCACGTGTGAAACAAGAAACCGAACACTGAGGTGCACAAAATCCCACCGCACGCTTCGCTTTGATCTCACAGTAGCTGTTGATGCTGATAAACAAATGCGCTCAATCTTTTTAACAAGACTCACAACTATGTCGCTTTTATCGCTTCATGAAATAACATTACAGACCAGTATTGGCTAATCGCAAATATATTGCTATGACGGTCAATGACAGAAAATGTGTCAAATGTTTTATAGGCTGCACTTTCACGCAAAGTTTTTCTTGATTCAAGACAAATGTGTTTTTGTATTTAATATGTGTTACATCCTTCAGCTTTAAAATATGAACATTTAAAATAGATTTGCTCACACAGTTTATCATAAATAGGCGCAACTTGTGCGTAAGTACACCTCAATTGATGCTTAAGTTGAGTCAGTTCAGTTGTGACATATTATCAAAAGCCCCAGAGCAGCTACTGAGTGGAGCTTGTGGTAAGACAATGTAAATGGCTAATTATATTTTTAGGTATTTAGTGTATTACTTTCATTCTAAGCAGACTTCACTGTTGTTTCAGTGCATGTCGATGAGGTGGATGTCTACTAGGTAGATGGGTAGGTTACTGAGGAGGAAGTGGGTATACTCTCCTTTATATTCCAATGACTTTGACTACTTTAAGTGAAATCAAACAAGACAGAGGTGTACCCTGTATACCCTCAGCTACACCACTGATTGTGATATCCAGTATCAGTCAGGGTCAGGGTCAATAGTAAACTTAATCTCTCACCCTGCCATCTCTGTGGTCTCTGTGGATCAGCGCAGGTCTGTTCCTCTGCAGCTCTTTTCTCAGTTCTGCTGCAGGAGGCACATGGAGCTGCTGCTGCTGCTGTTGGACAGAACTCAGCTCCCTTCTGTCCTGCTGCAGCTCCACATCCAGCAACTCTCTGCTTTCAGCCGCTGCTGTTTGTCCACGAGCCTCCTCCACTCTGCACCTCTCCTCCCAGTTCTCCTCAGTCATCACATCTCTATCCACAGCTGTGTGGCTGAGATCCTGCGGCAGCTTCCCCTGACGCTGGTCTGGCCCGCTGCTATCTGCGCTTGGCTGAGCTTGACTGTCTGGAAGAACTTCTCTCTGGTGTTGGCGATAGAGATAAGATTTAGTTGGAGCCTGGGGCTGAGAGGCAGCAGTAGCAGCAGCTTGAGGCTGGGATGTAGATCCTCTGCTGCAGTTGAGCTGGATGGGCCCCATGACTGGGGCAGGTGATGAAGGAGGAGGACACTGCGATGAGCTGTCTGGGTCCCAGCACCTCTGGAGCTGTTGGCTCTGGTGCAAGGAGGCAGAGATAAGGGCAGGCTGAACACAGCTGGAGTTATAAAGAGTTGCCTCCAGCTGGCTTTTCTCCAAAGTGGACAGATCAGGCTGAGGGGGAATGCCATGGAGGCAACACATCTGGGGCTCGCAGCAGTTCTGGTACCCACAGCCTGGTTCTCGTCCTCTGTGACACACGGATGGCAAAGCCAAGCAGGTGATGGGCTGAGGCCTCAGGATACTGGAGCAGGCCAAGCCCTGAGGATAAGTGCAGTTTCCCCCTTCAACAGTCAGCTGGCCTGCAGAGAAACACAGTCACATTAAGAGCTCTGCTCAGAGAATGATATAATGTGTCACACAAGCAATACTTTCATGCAGAAGATGTCATTTTATTCTAATGCATTCACATTTTTATTGTTGGCTTATTTTCAGTTTAAACCTCATCCTGAATAATGAAACTTTGACTGTAACACAAGCACTGTATCTCAATTTAATAACACTCGTTTTACCGAGAGAGGAAATCTGTTTCGTCCAGTAACTTGCATCCCAGTTGAATTTGATCTTGACAGGACTCCAAGAGTCTGAGTGGACCGACGACTCAAGCAGTTGCTGCATCTGGAGAGAAATCTGACAGAAGAATATTCATTCTGTTAATGAAAAACAAAATGATTCCTGTAACACTGCTGGTGATTTCCATGGTAACAATCACAAAAAGTAAAGGTGCGCATAAAAAACACTTTTGGATAATGCTGGAGTTACATCCTACACAAAAAAGCACCAAACTTGAATATAAGTAACAGGTGTCACAAGAGATGTACAAAATAAACCCGCCCTGCCTGGTAAATGCCTCCATCTTTCAGACGCCATGCTGACAGTTCATAACTCAGGCCTTTTCTTTAAAATGTGTAGTTTCCAAGCCCTCTAGAAACCCAGGGGACATTTTACATCTGCTTTTACAAGCTGAGTATGACCAGTTTTGGGGAGTAACTAGTTACATGTCACAGAGTTACGTAATTAAATTCTAAGATAAATGTAACTGTAATCCGTTACAGTTACTGACAAAAAAAAAAACTGTAGTTAAATTATGAGTCAAAATGTTGGTGATTACATTGGGGCTACATCCTTAATATATACTTCTTGTTAAAAAGCCTATTATATATGTATAAAACAACACTGATTCTGTTTTCACTGTGCATGGATGTCTTCTTTTGGCATATTTACAGACAAGGCAGGTCAGCAAAGCCGTTGGGAGAAATTTAAGTGCAGCACTTATGCACTTATATTTTTAGGACTGTTTAAATGTATTGTCCATTTTAAATAGGGCTGACTCAAAAGCTTCAAAGCTTTAATTGCTGCCATGGTAATTAATGTTCAAATCAGTATTCAAATAGTTTGTTTTTTTTAAATATAGATATAGATTAAGATATAGATATACTGTAAAGCTTTAATGAAAAGCCTAGTCCCAATTATAGGCCCAGTCTCTTTCACTCGTTCAGTGTAGCTACACATTTTGACAAATAAACCCTGTCTTGATTAGATGTCTGCTCTGGTTGCCAAGCAGATCATTTTAATACAAGTTCTTTGGATGTATAAAACCACATTGTTCACTACCCACTGAGCTAATGTTAGTTAGCTGTTTAGATCATGCATACAAACAGAAATGTTTGAACTTTTGTCTCTATGGAGATGCGACACATCATTACCTTGGTTCATTTCATTTTACTGAAACCATGAGCACCAGAGAAGACCATAATTCATTCAGATTTACTGGCATGATGAAAGAACAAGTAGTGACTCCCTTTTTCTGAAGCTGTCATAAAGTCAGAATACGTGTCCTCAATTAACCAGTAAGTTATTTATATTCCTTCGTATGGATCCATCGATCAAAATAATCCAAAGTGTTTTTCATAAAATGAATCCCAGTTACTAACATTGTTTTAACAGGATAAAGTGGTGCTGTGTTGCTATGCTGGGTGCCATGAAAAAAGTGTCATAACACATAATTAGTATGTTATCTGAAGCCTAATTATTATACAAGTAATATTCATATGGGTTCAAATAACCAATTTGATCGTATTTCTCATCTAGTGTGAAATGAATATAAGGCCTGTCCAAAAAAATATAAGCCCATTGAGTCCAGTGGTTTAAGCAAATAGCCTGAGCCACTGATTGAAGTTTTACAGTAGATATAGACATAGATATATAGATTTATATGCATTACCCCCAAAATCCCACATTGCCCATAGAGTATGAAGCAGTATCCAACATTATTCATTATGCAATAACATTGATTATTATTATTATTAGTTATTCTCAGACAAGTACATTTAAACTAAAACTAAAACTAACTTAAAGTGTTAGTTTTGTGACTTTGACTCGCATTCATCTATCGTCAGTCACCAGCATTCCAGCAAGACTGAAACTGGGACCATTTGACCACACGCGATGCGCTAGAACGATGTTAAAAAAGTCAGGTGACTACAATAGATTCAAAGTCCGACAGATATGCCAAAGTAAACTGATATGTATCACAAATCTACAACAAGCTTGGCAAATGACGTGCAAAAAACAAAGTGGCTAACTGTCACATTATTTTAGGGGCATCGACTGAAAACTCATGTTTAAAACAAGTCTGACTCATGTACTTGTCTTTTACCCGGCCCGCCCCCTGAAGCTTCAAATACTTCTCACTAAAGCTTCAAAGCCCAAAAGCTGATATTCAGGACGACCCTAACTATCTATGACATTTTTAACAGGATAATTAGTCATCTGTGACCTGTTACGTGTCAAAAGTGACCTGCCCAACACTGCCTATGACTACTGAACTGTAGGTGTAGATTCGGTGGAGTTCCCCTTTAAATACAAAGAAATAAAAGAGGCATCAGAGATTAATTAGTGGTTCCTCACAGGACTGTGTGTGTTACAAATAAGACAGTCTGTTGAGTGTCCTGCCAGCGTACCAGAGCTCTGCTGAAAAGCACCGGGCCTCTGCAGTGGTGGGTCGTAGCCCAGGTGATGAACTTCTGAACGTGGTCCAGCTGGCCACATATCTCTATTGCCCCCTGCAGCTGGTCCTCCAGACGCTGCTGGAAGTCTTCAGAGATTTTCTGTTAGCAAAAAAAACAACATAAACTTGCATCCAGTAATTACTGGTACACAGAGAGTCATAGCTGAAGTGTGGGCTAAATCAAAGCTCTTTTTTTGGACAGATGTAGCTCCTGAGATGTTGTCTTAAGCAGCTTTGACAGATTATTATGGGTTCTAGTTTGCTTGCTTTCAGGACTGATTACATCACGGCGGTTACTGATTCTTTGCGTGTAGATTCACGGCTGGCTGGGCGATAAGAAGGAAAGAGAAAGAAAAAGTAATTACCTCCAGTTGCTCTATTAATAGGTTGGCTCGTTTGTTAAGCTCGTTCATCATAATCATCTTTGCCATTTTAATCTGGTTCTCTGCCTTCCTGTGTGCAATCTTTACTCCATGAAGTCTGCGGAGACAGAAAGGAGAAAATAAACGTCTGAGAAAAAAAAAAGCCAAATGCAGACGAAGTGAGCAGCATTCCAGACATTAATTTATGCATTAGCTTGCTATATTTCACGCAAATTATTGAGCATTTGTGGCAGAAGCTGCTCACACATCGGACTATGATTACGACATGCACACACCTGTCCTCTATCTGCTTCGCACTGTTCTCCACTGCAGACCTCCTCTCATCCACCTGCACCATCAGGCTCTCAAACAGCCACTGCTGGTCCTGTAGGGCCTTCCCAATCTGCACCACCCTGAACACATGAGAGATCACAGCACTAATTTATTCTTTGGGCATGAAGAACACCAGAGTTGAAATTGTTTCCCCCGGGGACCAGACATTATGCAGGTGACCTTAGACGCTGCTACTGTACGGCAACATCACAGCAAACAAAAGCGTATGAATACTTAATAGGTATTAAGTGAGCCAAGGGTAGTGTATGCAGATGCACATGATAAAAGTGACAAGGCAGTTAAAGAGAGTTGTTGTTGCTCGGAGGAAGTTTTTAACCTGCGGTTAGCCCTGCTCTGCAGTGTCCTTGTGCTGTGTATCTGAGGACTGACCTGTGGTTTTTGTGGGAGGACAGGTGACAGCTGCTACAGCACAGAAGGTCACATGACTCACAAAACAGCTCCAAGGGCTCCTGTCTGTGAGAGTGGCACATGAGGAGGGAGCAAGGATACGACCCCGGGCCTAAAAGACAGACGGAGGAGGGGGGAGGAGGGGGAGAGGAGAGCATGGAGCATCAGCAACAGTCGACAAACAATTTACACAAACAGCTAGAGGAGTGTGTGTGTGTGTAGTGTTGAAAGTATTTGGAGAGGACAAACATCAGCAGTTCTAATAACTTAAAAGTCAGCAAATACATTTATTAGAGGAACTTCATTTAATTTGATAAGTTACAGATTGATTAATCGCACAGTTGGTTTGAATATCAATTTGTACTTCAGTTCTCTTGAAGATTATTCAAATGTATTACTTTTGCACTTTAGCACTTGCAACTTTATAAACAGTTTATTTATTACTTACAGCAGGACAAATGGATTGAAATGAATATAAATACAACTATATAAGTGCAAGCTAAAAGTCATCTTAACCAGAGTGATTTAAAGTGAGCCAACAAATTCAAATATGATAAAAGTCTCATAACTGGAGCTTATCAATTAAAGATGTAATGATATGTCAATCCGGACTGATATATTGATTCAGTGATCAACAATCCGATACCACTGATGCAAAATTAAAACACTGATACACATCTTCATCTTTAAGATTCACCTTTTTTTTAAATTCTCATGACACATCTCTGTCAGCATTTCCCACCAAGCACACCTCCTTTATAAACTTACAAACAGTGCTAGCAGCATGCGTTCGGCAGATAATTGTAAACAGCCACGAAAAGACAATGAGGATTTTTACCCATCCTGGCCCCCTGAATTAAATCCAATCGAAATTGCATCATGGCAGACTTTGTGATATCAGCAAATATCATATATTTGTCCAAACAATCGATATAATATTGTATTGTGATGAAAACTTGTGATTTACTCAATGTGTTGTCAAAGCACTGGTTCTGTAAAATACACTGGATCTCATTTTTAGAGCATAAACAAGTTGAATTGTTTATTTTTTGACTGATGGTTTAAAAGTAAAAGGTTGTGCAGTAATGGGGGGTTATTTGTTATAATGCTGGACTATATTTTGGCCAAGAAATAGTCCAGCACATAATCTTTGGTTTTACACCAATTAAAATATAACATGTTAATCAGTGAGCTTTAGAGGTTTGTTAGCTGTGCCTTAGAGCAGTGATTTCCAACCAGGGGCACACAGGGTGTATGGAAATACTGTGGGGTACTTCTACTGATTAAAAAAAACAAACAATTTGATTAGAAAATTAAAAAAAATAGTATATCCATATATTGAGTCAACTGTAACTTGAACACAATGTGTTACAATTGAGTGTGTATGAGAAGTAGTTAGCAAGTGAGCAGAGAAGTCTAAATAGTTCAATAAAAGTCACGTCTGAATATTTAAAAGTAGCTAAAAATAATGAATATATAGTTTAAATAATTAGCTAACTAAAATGAATGTATAAATGATTGGAAGAGTTTACTGAAAGTAATGAATATGTAGGTGAAATAGTTAGCTGAACATCCAGCTTCTGCTAACGAAAGTACAAATGCAAACCTGACCAAACTAACCCTTAATGTTAAGAATTTAATTGTTTGAAAAAATACTGTCACAATATTGTAAAATATTGTAAAAATGAACACATTTGGAACCTGACGGGTGGTGTTGATGAAGGGGTACATGCCCTGAAGCATAGCCATACTTTGTAGGGTTCACATTTAAAAACATAAATTTAACATTATAATCAACACAAATAGCAAACATGAGACATATGTCAAAAAATAACAAGAGCTGTCAAAATAACATGTTAAAAATTTTAAAGCTGATTATTTAAGTTCTGTGGTGCCCTTTGACCCGGTGCGTCATTGAAGGCCACAGTGGCTTTGTCACATGATGGTGAACAGAACATTTACATTTAAAAAACGTCCAGATGGACCTGTTGATAGGAGCACCGTTCTCTGCAATTTCTGCAGTAACGGAATTTTCATACCTTCTGAGTACTTAAAGCCTGAAATATCACCTCAGAGCAAAGCATTTAGCAGCAAACCCAGAGTCCGAGCTAGCACAGCTTTTGATGCTAGCACTAGCAGCCAGTCTCGTCAAGCCACAGTTGACCAGGTGACTAAATAACTCCCATGCAAAATGGATTGCAATAGACTGCAGACCAGTTTTGGTGGTAGAAATTTTTTAAATACTGTCGCAGCATAAGTTTCGATTAGAAGATTATTTTCCATTAATTAATCACAGAGCATGTCATTAATTAGTCTAATTTTTTTAACCACTTGACAGCCCTAAAAATAATATTAATATGTACAAGTACATAAACTGATTTGTGTATGTATGAATAAAAACTTTCACTGATGTCTCAACATAGTTCCCAGCCAAACCTACAAATCCCCATTTACATCCTACAAACATGATGTTTCAAGAGGTGCTTGTAGGCGGATTTGTAACCATTTGACAGAGCTGTTTATCCCCATCTGTTTACAAACTCTCACACAACTTGGCAGTATAATCCAAGTCTCATGTATCTAGTCGTATGTTCAGTAATCTCGTTTCCAGCTCTGATAAACCCACTGCATGCTACTTGTCCAGCATCATACAGTAATTACATCTGTGCTGTCTGTGTAACAACCTGAGTTAGCCACAACAACTTAACAAAGCAATAATATGTCAGAGCTGTCAGCTTTTTTGTTCCTCTTCTGCCTCCTAGTGGCCAAACATGTATTAAAGGCACTATAAAGTAAATAATCAGGGTTGGTTAAACTTTACTATTGAATACTGAACTGAAAGTGAAACTTAGCTGTGCTCTCTTTGAAGTCAATACCAAGTTTCTTTTGTGAGAATGCATGTGTTTGTGACGCACCGTGCATACAACTGGATAAGTGAGCCTTTGATTACACTGTGCGAGAGTTTGCGAACGGTTGTTCACAGTTTTCCATGGAGGCTTGCAAGAAAAAACACATTTTCTTTATGATTTCATAGTAACACTGAATGAATGATTTGCAAATGGTCATTTTTGTGGGTAAGGTGTTCCTTTAAGCACATTATCCAGAATATTGAACTATTTATTTTAACACCCAACCCCCCATTTTGGGTGTGGTTTGCCTACAATGAAACAGTGGACAATTTTTGATCAGTAGACCCTTGAAATGTATTTGGGCACAGAGTATTCAAGGCTTTATTAGAGTGCCAATTATTTAGAGACTATAGTTTTAGTTGTATACTTTGCTGTACCTGGATTATTTGGGCCTTCTTTTTGAAAATAACCACTATGACTGAAAGGTTAAAAGTCTATTCTCTCAATACATGTATTATGTCTTTATGTTTATGTGGCCTTTTGTAGTTTGAGCAGTCTGTGAAACTTAAACATAGTGAGAGAAGTGGGACAGAGGGTGAAAAGTAACCCGTGACGACTTTTATTGACATACACCTTTCAAACCAGCTGCACTTTGATACAAAAACAATAATACAGCTGCGGGAAACAGGTTGCAAGCTGAGGTTTCAATGAGACTGTGTTCAAGAGTGTTGAGATCAGCAAACAATATTTCAATGCTGTCCAATCTGCCTTTGATGCACCGACCACACACACTCAAATAAATCTCTCACACATTTCTAAATAGGTCACTGTAGAGACTGTTGGCCCACAGAACGTCTGTCTAACAATAGCTGGATGCGGCTAATGAACGCAGCCCTACTGCTCTCTGCTGGCCGGCTCACCTCAGCCAACCCCCCTCCTGCCTGCACATTATCACACCTCTCTGTGGTGACAAGCTGAGCATCGCCCCGTGTGTGCATCAACCTGATCTGACTGACCACATCCTGTCAGTCAGCGCAGTCACACAGCTTTTTCTCACAAGTACACAAACCAAACAGTAATGCTCCCACATCACAATACAAGTGTCCAGGACTTATTCTTTATGATTTGACAACTTGTGCCATGCAGACCTGCACAAGCAGCTGGCACCAGAGCTGGCAGGCGTACTGGAGGGTCTTTAAATAGCAGCACACTAATATTAGCAAAAATGAAATCATGCGAGCAGTTTAGAATCTGGGCCACGTGTTAAAGAGAGGTGTAATAAAGCACAGGGATCTCCAAGAACTATTATCAACCATCGCCACTGTCATGCATTATTCATTGCAACCGCTCCTACAGAGACATGATTATGAAACACAACAACAGAGAGAAAACAAAGAAGCCACAGTGCACTTTGTGGTGACAGAGAATCAGACTGATAATGTGTCGCACTGGCCTGGAAAACTGAGGAGTCAGACTCTTGTAATGTGTAAATATCTTGCCTTGTCCAGTTGGAAGCAGGGAGCTGGAGCCTCTCTGGTGCAGGTCAGGACACTGGTTGGCACTGGGCCTCTGCTGCTGGTGCATGTCTGCGTACTGGGAAGTGGCAGGGGCTCTTTGATGCTGATGCACATCTGTGCACTGGTAACACAGCCACTTGTTGCAGAGCGTACACAAGCTATGTGCAAGTGTCAGCACTGAGCACTCTGAGCAGCTCTGAAAGATGCACAAAAGTATACAGTGAACACACACTCTCTCTCACACACACTCTCTAACACATACACAGGCCCGTGTGACAAAAAGACGAGGTGGCATATGTCAGAAACATTTGTGTTGCTGCTTTACTGTGGGCAAAATCACACTTCCAAGAGTTGTTATTTGTTCTCATGCTTGCAAATGCCTCAGAGACTTTCAGAGGAATGAGAGTGAAACCCAGCCTGTGCTGCAGCATCATTTGAACACAGGCAAAATCATTTCAACACTGATTTAATTCTACAACCACCTGGATTTAAACATTATGATGCATGTAAATGTTAAAAAGGAAAGACATACAATCTGTTAAAATCAGGATTTTGGCAATTTCTAAACCAGAAAACATGATGGATCTGATGAAACTGCTGTGTTTACATCTAATTTTGTTCAAACACAAGCAAAATAAAAGAGTATGAAAGCTATCAGATGATGCATTTCACTTATTATACCTTATTAATCCCTGAGAGGAAATTCATCCTCTGTAGTTGACCCTTCTTACAAATTTAGGCGCAGAGCACAGCGCCTCGGGACAGAATCCAGTTTAAAAACCCAATTCCTTGTCCAAAGGCAATAGCAGGGGTATCCCTAACATCAAACACATCTCTAAGGGTGGAAAGAGAGCAACACAAACATAGGAAGCATGCCAGCTCTACACAGAAAGGCCCAAAATGCCCTGAAGGGGTTCAATCACAGGATCAACAGTGCAAACCCAGAAACTGCTGCACAAAATAAACAATCTCAGGCTGTGTCATGATCAGGAAACAATGCTGAAAAACAAACACCTTACCTTCTCCATTTCAGTGCTCTGAGAGTGGAGCTGTTGCCTTCTCAGCGGGAGGGAGAGGAGAGGAGAGTGAGCAGCCTGACGCCTCAGCAGCAGAAACACTGAGGCTTCTACCTGAGGCAGGAAGCAGTGCGCACCGAGAGGTGGCCCCAGAGGAGACGGCTTACATGACAGCCTCACTGTGCTCTCTCCTCCCCCAGTTCATCCAAGTGTGGGACCCCTTCACTGCAGAGGAGGAGAGGAGTGTCACATTCAAATTCATCCCCCTGCTCACTTGTGCAGCCACCAAAAAAGAGAGAAAATCTAATCCTTTTTCTTAAATAAGCCTGTGCATAATAATTGGGAATTAGGGAGATAAGATAATTATTTTTTTGTAGGGCAAAATATCCCCGGAAGCCCTTTCCAAAATGGAGGAAGGAAGACCAAGTGACCTACAATGAGAGAAGAAGGGAGAAATTGTACTGTAAGCAACTTTTAGCTCGTTGGAGCAGGCGGTGTGAGGCAGGATGTTCAGCTCAGGTTGTGCTGGGGTGTGTCAGGCTGGGCGAGGGTGGGCCAGTTGTGGCCTTCTTCCCTTTGTCAGCACGAGGAGGGGACAGGTCCCAGTGGAGCTACACGCTAACGTAGCTCACCGAAACCGGGTCAGGCTCTGATAAGCTCCAGATGGGACTAGGGTACACTCCTGCAATTCCCTCTAACACTGTGAAATCAATTAAGATTTTAACTCGGCATGTCAGAGAAAATGAGCAGCAAACACTGTCGGAAGAAAGAACGGGAGGCGACTGTAAATGAACAAGAAGGACATTTAGACACAGAGGGGATAATAGTCTGACAGTGCATCTGCAAAAGAAACATGACAATATCAAAGCTGAAAAAAGGGGAACTGGGGAAGAGCGTACTGTTGATAAAACAATCACTTATCACCAGATATAGCCCAGTATCAAACCGCTGTGACATCTCGAGCTGTGAGCAAGTCTGCCTAACAACAGCCCCTGCAGCCTGACCTACAAATCTGACAACTTTCTCATCCTTGGGTGCTTCAGTGGGGAGCTCAGAACAATCCCATTCCCCATTGTGCGCTCAAAGACCCAATTTGAAACACAATTAGTCAGTGGTTAGTGCACCCTGCCTCTCGTTCACTCAGCTCCGTTGCATTTTCAAACCGTGTATTTGCTTTCACTAAACCTTCACAGCGTTTATCTATCAAACTGAAACCTCCCGCCAGCTCTCCCCTGCCCTGCTAAGCGAGGCTGGCACTAGATACACATGCCATCTCAAGAGATGTCACAATAATAGAAACCTGCACAGTGATCCCTCCCTTGAAAGCACCCCCCATGTAACATCTATTAACACCGAAGTGATGAGATCACAGAGAAAGAGGGATTATCTTCAACCGCTCCTAAGTTATTATGCCATTTAACTATTTCTGTCCTCACACACCTCGCCCTCTGTTCTGCAAAGAAATCCATCAGTGGGAGGGAAACGTCTTCACCTGCCTTATGATTATAAAATGCAAAAAAAATCTTAAGAAATCTTAAGAAATTAATATTGTATAGAAAAAAATAACAAAATGATTTTTGTAGTCAGCTTTAGTTGTTGCACCTTCACACAGAAACAAACTCATCGTGCTGATCTTCTCATCTCGGGCCGCTTGAACAGCTTTAGCAGGTGGGATCTCACCATGAGCCTCCTGTCAAACGGTTAAAGAGCAGTTTTACTTTCTGTTTGCTGTGATATCACACCCTTACACACTCTCTGCTGTTAAAACTCTCTTAAAAACAACCCTTATTATTTACTTTATGACTCTATGCCTTTAATACATGTTTGGCCACTAGGAGGCAGAAGAGGAACAAAAAAGCTGACGGCTCTGACATATTATTGCTTTGTTAGGTTGTTGTGGCTAACTCACTTTGTTACACAGACAGCACAGATGTAATTACTGTATGATGCTGGACAAGTAGCATACAGTGGGCTTGTCAGAACTGGAAACAAGACTACTGAGAGCAGCAAGATTCAGTGTGTGAGCCGCAAATCCAAAACAATGAGCTAAAAGAGGCCAAAAAGATGAGTCATATTTGTCTGTTGGTCTGTCAGTAAGGGTGATGCCTTTTCAAGTACATGTAGTCATTTAATTCAGTATTAATATAAAACCATTAAAGATGCCATATTGTAAAAAGTCAGATTTCTATGACTTTTTAAAATTAAAATCAGGCATCATAAATACTGTGAAAGTATGAAATCACTCAATCCACAGAGAAATGCACACGGTCCGCATTCAGAAACTGTGTCTTTAAACGAGCCATCAGGACTTCTGTCAAGTTGTGATGTCACAACTATACAGACTGTTTTAAACTTAACCCTAAATATTCTAAATATCGTTCCTTTGAATTTTGTATTGGAATGTTTTGCACTGCACTTCACAGGAAGTAAACATGAACACAAATTGTTGCCTATCTGTGAAGATACACAGTGCTGTTACAGTCATTTCCCTCGGCTGTAATGACAGTGCAAAGACATTGAAGAGTGCAGATGTGGAAGACCTGGAAACTCTAACCAATCAGACCACACTGGGCTTTTTAGGGAGGGGAGCTTAAAGAGACAGGCGCCAAAATGTTTCAGAAAGAGTCCGAAAAATGAAGTGAACATTACAGCATGTAAACATGTTCTAGTAGAAGCCCAAAATACAAGTAAACATCTGAAAATGAACATAATGTGGATCATTTAAATAAAATGATATTGATTGTATTGATTACTGCAGTTTTAAATAACCGATTACATTTCTCTTACAGTTGTACAGTAGAAAATGAAGGATTTAATGTTTATCTCAAGTTTAAAAAAATAAACAGACAATGTTCAATAACACCTTAGTATATTTAAAATCTCATCTGCATAATCTAACATTTTAAATATCTTAGTGCAATTTGTTCGCCAGATTTTACGTGCAATATGCAGCAAAAGCCCAGCAGCTGTAGCTGAGGGTGCATACTCTTTAATGACCTCAACAGGAGTTGTGGTTGGATTTGAAGGCTGATTTTTATGTTTTTGGATGAATATCTGGAAATTTGGCAGCTTTAGGAAAAAAAACTTATTATATTGAATTAGTATTTCACCATATGGAACACTTAGAGGGCTTTTTTGTTGCTTTTCAAAAAAAATTAGTGGGTGGGGCTGCACTGAAAGAAAGTGGACAAGTATTTCTGATATCTTTGTTACGGCCATAATTTATATAAGCGTCTTAGTTGTTGTTTTGTAGCCGTCCTTTATACAGACTCTATTCTTCTTATTTAACTTTTTTGTCTTTTTACTGTTTTTATCATTGTTTATAATTCTTGATAGACATTGCAACTACTTATTGTTTTTATGGACTTTTTACATCACTTTATTGTGATTACTATTATAAACCTGTAGCCGTCTAGCCTATTGAATGTGAACTCAGGACACTGCTGTAAAAGAGCTCAATCAATTTTCCCTGAACAATGGTTTAAATGAAGTCAAGTCAGTTTTTTTTAATAGTATAAAATGACAAATTGTAAGTATTTTACAACCCTTTATTTAGAAAAGGAAACCCCCCTGAAAACTTCAATAAAATTAAATTTTGAAATTAAAAGGGACCTTTAACTTCAGCATCAGATGTTAATCTGATTTGTTGCAACTATCCAGTTTGTGATATCCTCCTGAGACCCTGTGTCTTCATATGAGGACATCCCATTTTGGGTTTACTTGACCTTATGCTTCATTCTACTTATAACATAGACCTGTTGTCCTCGTTCGTGGACGCTTTTTGTGCCATCTGGTGGTCTACATGTAAAAAGAGTATGGCAGCCATCTCTGCCAAGTCAGTCTGCAGCCTATCCTGACACAAAAGTGGACAAGGTCCAAAACCTGATCACATTTTATGATTGAAACTTGTTTATTTGTGATTAATAATGTTTGTAGTTTGATATGGCAACAAAGTTGACCAATTTTAGCAAAAATAACAAGCTAAGACACTGTTAAGTACTTGTTTGATGCCACTGGGACTTAATTATCAATGGCAATGTTTAGTTAAATAGCTAGGAGATATTAAAAATGCATATCAAACAAAAGTTCTGGTCTCTGGAGGATGTGGTGTTACTGTCACTGTAGAACAATAAATCCTTGTTTGCATTTTACACTGAAGTCATGGGAACACCACCATTAAGTATGAACAGAGCAGCATAGTTTGGTGATTTATTCCTCACTGTATGAAGCTGTGGGAATTTGGGATTTTCCTTATGGCATGTTACACGTGTGGCTGCCTGCTCCATCTGTTCCTGAACGTGTCAATCTGACAGCACTTTATTAACGCGTCTTTGCTTAATAACAACAAGCCTGTCAGTCAAACTGCGGAGTGTCTGCCCCCGCATCCTCAGCAGCCTGCCTCTGCATTAGCAGCATCACCTCCAGCAGCAGCAGCAGCAGCATCACTGAGCGTGATATTATTTTTTAGAAAGTGCGCATGAGATTCCGCCCCTATCACGGCACCATGGTGCAATCCACAAAACAAGAGGACAGCCCGCACACACAAAGTCAGCACGCGGACAGTTTGATGAGACAAAGCAAACACAAACTGTGTGTGTGTACACGTTAAATCCGCTCGCGAAGTGCGCAGCTCGTGCAAAGCATCCTGTCAAGGTAAACATCAGTGTGAGCGCGTGCGAGGATGTCAGAGTGGAAACGAGACTGTGTGCCGAGCAACTCAACTTGTGTCGGCCTGTCACTCATCGTCAGGTGTGCTGCAGCGTGTGTGTGTCCCGAGCGCGAGAGTGTTTTTGTTTTTGTTTGTTACCTTGACCCGTGCATCTCCGAGTGTCGCTCCCCCCATCGGATGTCGCTCTTTAGACCGGCCAAAATTTTAGAGATTTCCAAGTCTCGCAGTTAATCGTGAGACTTTATAATCGTTCTCATGCAATATTTCTGACGTTTCTCAAAGCTGTAGTGTGACACTTGGAAGGAAGGCTGGATTATTTTTGGAAAGTTTGACACAATGGCATCATGGTAACATCACTGCAGGGAGAAGATGGAGGAAATATTCACATCTCATCCTATTCACATCAAATCTGAGTTACAATAACAGCAACATAATGTTTAAATACTCCTTTACAAGCAGAGTGAAATGTAATTAAATACAATTTTGACATACTACTTGTACTTTTTTGAGTGTGTCCATGTTTATACCTCTACTCCATCACATTTCAGATGGATATATTGTACGTTTTCATTCCACTACGTTTATTTTACTCTTAAACTTACAGTTATATACATTTAATAGTGCCAAAAACAAAATAGTATGATATTCTATCACAATGTAACACTGTGAAAGGAGCCATTCTGCATAATGATTACTTTCTTTGTTACTTAAAGTACATTTTTCTAAGAATACTTCTATACTTTTACTCAAGTAACATTTTAAATGCAGGATTTTTACTTGTTCAGCTTAGTTTAGTGGTTAAGTTAATTCAGTTTATAAGAGGACAGTGTGCAATCACATTAATTATTTGAGATTTGTAAGAAAGAAACATGGTTGCACCAGATTTAGTGAAATGCTAAGTTCCATCTGTCCCACACATAACAAGTAGAAGCAATAAATAAAAAAATAAATGCAGACTGCAGTAAATCCATGAGCCTTACATAATAAAAACAGTAAGTAAGCACACACTGCACAGGACAGAATACAATATGAAATGCACAATAACTACCTTATAAACCTATATAAACCGGTGCTGATGCCTTTTATAAGAGGCCTAAAAAACAGTAAGTGCACATTTCATGGTTGAAATACAATATGAAGTACAATTACTAGATTTTTTTAGTGACTAAGCTTACAATTTCTCTGCCTTACACAATAAACATGGCAGGCACAGGCTGCACAACACCATATACAGTAAGAAATATGCAATAAATACATTACACATAGCAAAGTTAGCAGCACATGTACACTAACTTTGTAATGGAGTATTTTTAAAAGATGGTGTTTCTACTTTTACTTCAGTAAATTATTTGAATTCTTCCACCACTATGTAAAAGTCAGGCACTAAAAATATTACCTGAGTTACCATGCACATGCATTATCAGTACTTTAAACATCACAGTAGTCAGGGAGCAGAATGGTCCCTATCAGTTATATTATTATACACCGATCGGCCAAAACATCAAAACAAATAACATTGATCATCTTGTTACAGTGCAATGTTCTGCTGGGAGACCTTTGGTCCTGGCATTCATGTAGATGCTACTTGACGTGTTCCACCAACCCAAACACCGTTGCAGACAAAGTAACCCCCCCTCTTGGCAACAGCGTTTGCCGATGGCAGTAGCCCCCCCCCCCCAGCTATGCACCATGACACACCACAGAAACTGCTCAGGAATGACCCGAGGAATGGGACACAGAGCTCAAGGTGTTGACCTGGCCTTCAAATACCCCAGATCCCAATCTGATAAAACATTTGAGGGACGTGCTGGTACCCAAGAGGTACCCCTGATCCATGGTGGGTCCTTCTTGGACCAGACTTGGCTCTGACCTGTCAAGGCATGGACACAGGACCTCTGGAGGGTGTCGTTAGCATCGGGCGTTACCTTCAGATCTTTTGAGTCCTGTGGGTTGTGAGGTGGGGTACAAGTACATCCCAGAGATGTTTGATCAGATTGGGATCTGGGGAATTTGGAGGCCAGGTTGACTACTTGAGCTCTTTGTCTTGTTCTTCTTTTGTGTTTTTGTTTTGTGTCTCCTTGTTCGTTTGTATCTTATTGAAATAATTTTGTTTCCCTTTGGGGTAATTTCTTGTCATTCATTTTCATCTTTGGGGTAATTTTGTGTTATTTTGAAGTAATTTTTTTGTCTTTTTTGGTCGTTTTATGTCCCTTTGTAGCCATTTTGCGTCTTCTTGTGGTTATTTCCCTATTTATGCAGTTATTTTGTCTCTTTCAACTTCTTTTGCATCTTTCTCTGGTCATCTTAGTCTCGTCATGGTCAGTAAGTGTTTATTTGAATTACATTTTGCAAGAGGGCCCCTGACACTATTAATTATATATCGGGCCTGTTAGGCCCGATATATAATTAATATCTTTCATATTTCAATATTGTTTTCAAACAACAGCAACAACGTAAAATCTATAAATTCTATAGTAACATCAAATCACAGGATTTTTGAAATCAGTCAAGCATACAATTAAAGTACAAAATACCACCATGTAAAATTATTTTTAAGAAAGCATTAAATACATTTTCTAAGCATATTAAAATGGAAGCAATAAATATACTCAGATAACATTACTCACTCTTTGTCGCCTCGGTGTTACATCATTGATGCATTAACCTGAAATAAGTCTTTAATGCAGCATGTGGTCCATTATCACCACCAAATGATGAGTCACAGTGGTTTTATCTATTCTTAATATGCAAAGCTTTCAGATAAATGTAGTGTAGTACAAAATCTTCTTATGAAATGTAGAGGTGAAATTACAGCGTTTCACAAAAAGAAAATAAAGTACCTTGAAATGTGACATGACTACAATAAACTTTTCTACCCTGTAAACTAAAAAAACAGATGTACAGTCGATGTTCAGCTAAATCCCAAACAGAGAACACAGTTATTTCACATCAAATGTCATACTTAATTGCTATACAGGACACAAGCGGAGACAAAGTAATATGGCGGCTGGAATCCACAGTGAGCCTCTCAGTTAGGAGAGCTAATAACAGCATGGCAGTGACAGCCACCAGAGTGATGAGCAGAGACGTAATAAGGTTACCGGCAGCATGTGGTAGCTGGTGCTAGACTAACTGTGCCTTTTGGGATCTTACCAGCTTCTCCTAATGCATAGCTTTGGGGGAAGCTGTCATTGAGATGTCGGATGTAAAAAGAGGTGATTTTTATATCATCTGGCCAACTGTGAATTACATGTTTCTGATTCAAAAGGCAATCTGTTCACTTTAGGCCTTGTTTTTGAGAGTAATAAAAGCTGTGGAGTGCATCTGTGTTGTTGTTATTGATAACTGCCCTTTATGTTTGATATGAATGGAAAAGTGCCACTTTTTGTGTGTAAGAAAAGTAAGAATATAAACTCAACACTGCACACTGAAGCATTTTAACTACATTTTTTAATAAAAGATTGCAAAAGACTCTTTGAAGAGTTACAATCATTTTCTTCATTGTCTTGATGCATGTACAGTTTTCGAATAGGTTTTACACTCCTTAAACAGAGGACAACACTGTGGTGAAATAATGCAAAAAGAAAACATATGAACTGTACATCTATGCCCATGTCAGGTCACACACACTCACACATTCTGATAACACTCTTCACAAGCACACCTGGACATCAGTGGTTACTCTACGGCTCACTCGCTGTGTACCGTCCTGCTATCGCTATCTCGTAAGGTACTATAAACATACACTGAAGAGTATCACAGCCAGCTTACAGTGAAATAGTATGTACATGTTTTACATACAAAAGGTTGACAAAAGTTTTTTATTTTAAAAAAAAAGGTGAGAATCATCATTATGCAGAGACTTGAGACATCAGGTCTTCAGTTTGTTGTACTGTACGACAGGAGGATGGTTTCCTCTCAGTTCTTTTTGTGGAGAAACTTCATTTTACTTCCTGAAAACAATCAGAACAAATCATGTGAATGCATTAACATCTGAGAGGTTAAATTTAATTCAGGTTATTATACAGTATATGGGGATTAAACCAGGCTGAGATTAAGGGAGGTCTGGTGTGATTTAACCCTGATTCATCTGTGTGCAGTGTGTGTAGACATCTGAGTATCTGCTCAACTGTGTGGTTTCCTGATAACATTCTTAAATATCTCCACCAGACATGTTCAATGAAAAATGATACTCATAAATCTAAACTACGTAAAATCCTGCTTGTATGTAGCTTTACACGCCTCATAGCTGTAGCTGGTAACATTTATGAAAAAAGATTTTGTCATATTTGCTCAAACTGTCACTTTATCCACACAGCAGTGCATGAAACAGATAATCTGTAAAAAAAAAAAAAAAAGGTGCTGTAATGGCATTACCACATGTAAATGGCCAATCAGAGCCAAGGAGTCTGAGTCATAGCTGTCAACAGAGCGCGACAGAGATGAGATTTTTCTGAAGGCTGACGCGGAAATTAGTGTCGGTGTCCCCCTCAAAAAGGCAACGGGAGTTTTCCATTAGATTTTGTGGAACAGAAAAAATTAGCTCTTTGGCAAACAAAAGTTTATGATACTTTCACGATATGTTCATAATTAAACACAACTTTTAAGATTTTTGGAACATAAATGCAATTCCCAGAAACAGAAAGCTAACATTAGGCTATAATTAAACTACACTACGGCTGCATGACTTATGATGCCACCCCAATGAGGCTGTAAAGCTGTCTTTGGCGTGACTATGTCCTGTATTTAGCAACCACCTTTTCTGAGACAACTAAAGGCCTCAAACTTCATGAGTGGGGTATTTACTGACGTATTTTACGTCATAGATCAAAACATGAAAGTCTCATAAGCTTTTGTTAACGACAGACCATATTTCAAGCATCAAACAAAAATAACACTGAGTTGAAGATGAGGAGACAGTGAGTGCTAAAATGCTAACTCATTTCTACCTTTAAGGACTCATTCCTGCAAAACTGTATCATGTCACATCACTGCTTGTGAACTGCGGTAAAACTGTCAAACTAGGCAGCGCTGATCCAATATGAATCAAGATTCTGTTGCTGCATTTGCCTTTTTCTTGTCTCAAATGTCTTTAGAAGCATGTTTTAGTGTACTGTTTAGCTGTAATATGAGAAAGCTAAAAACAGTTATTTTCAACATGGTGGCTGGGCAACAAACATTCTCATTTTACAGCTAAACAGTACACTAAAATATGTTTCTAGTGCTCTTCAGTGCTGCCTAGTTTGACAGTTTGACCACAGTTGATTTTTTTTTACAGACTACCTGTCTCATATAATAGTTTGTGGATGTAATAAGTTTCAACAAATATGAAGAAAAAAGCTTATCTTCATAAAACATATCAACTGTAGCTTTAAACTAAGATTTCAGACGAGCAGAGAAACTTTCCTCCTTCAGCAGATGCGTGTGAAACTGCACATAGATTATTCTGCACAGTGAAGCTCAAAGATCCAAGTAACAACTGGCAAAACACATTTTTGACTTTATTCTGAACTACTTACAGACTCTCTGTAATGATTACATAATACTAGTTACTGATGAGTTAAACTTTGAAACAGAGCAAATGAATAGCAGACACTGAAAGTTGGGAAAGTTGTTTTGTAGCTCCTTTTGGCAAGAAAACAGCACTAATAAAGAGTCATGTGTGATCCAGTATTTAAAGTGTGAGAGTTTTCAACAAAGTTAAAGAGGAATTATTTGAACATCCTGATTTTTTTTAAAACTGCTTAAATGTAGTCAAACTTCTGCAGTCTGAATTTAGCCTCGTGTCTACTGCAAGACTCACCAAGGCCTCGCAGGAACTTGTTGACTCCACTCTGCTCCGTGTCTGGCAGCTCCTCCAGATACTGATCCACCCTCTGCTCAAACAGACCTGTCAGCAGGACAATGCAAGAGAAAAAAACCCCCAGAAAGAAATAAGTTATGAGACATCTCTGTATTCCAGGAAGTTACAAAAACTTGTGACTGCCAAGGAGCAGACAAATGTGGTGAGGGAGTGTGCTGATGATAACTTTCAGCCACTAGAGATCAGTGTTACTGCAGTGCCCTCTCCTGCACAGTGAGTAAAGCAGTCAGCACAGGGGTGGAAACCCTCAGAGAAAAGTCTACACACATGGAAACAACTCGGAGAAGGACAGCCTACCTTTTGCCCGGGTCTTCCTCAGTTCCCGATCTTGAATGAACCCTGCAAACATCTGTGACTCCATGAAGACACCCAGGAAACGACGGATGCTTTTCGACGCCACGGACTTACGGAAGGCCTCTCTTTGGAAAATGCGCTCTCCACGCTCATTCTGAGTGATAAACAGGGAGTAATGGCCGATGGTCTCCAGGAAGAAGCGGATAAAGGCCTCTGACACCAGGCTGTTCAGGGAGTTATACTCTGTGGGCACAAAGGAAAAGGGATTTATCACAGTGCTTGGATCAGTTATTCATAATAGAATAACACAACAGATATGTCACACACAGTACGGCATGTTGACATTTTCCAAGAAAACAGATAGTTCTCAAAGTCCGAAGTACAGATTGAAGTAGAATACATGGTTTGGCTCGACGCCTGCACCAACACAAGTAATAAAAAATGCCCACAGCTGTTGTTAACTGTGTGGAGATTCAGGGATGTATCCCATCATACCCATGCAACCACAAAATAAGAAATAATAATAATGTGGTTGCCTCTTTATTACAACGATTCCTCTTACACTGGTGTTGTCAAAGTATGTCAGAAGTATGGAGCTAGAAGAGTAGTGGAAAATCTGAGCAAGTTCAGAGAGAGGGAGGCCTTCATGGCTCGAGAAAAGACTCATTAAAGAGTCATTAGAGGACAATTTCAACATGACTGGGTTTTTTTCTCATTTTCTGCATTCCCCTGCTGTTTTACATTATTGTTGCCATTTGTTATTTCCCTCTCATGTTAGTTGTTTTGTACAGTAAATGTTAAGTGCTCAGGCCAGCTCGTAGGCCTGTCACACTAAATACTCTAAATATCACAAGATGCTTAAAGACGAGACAATTGTGTGTAGTTGTATTGTTATGTAAAGTCAAGCTTAAACATCCATTTAATCTCACAGACTGTCGCTTACACAAGCTTTAGTTTGCACATCAGTGTGAACAGGTTGTGATTGACATGCGGCAGATGCACAGTGTTTGCTGTGGGTTTTATTTTGGAGAAGAATGTGGGAAGCAGAGACAGAGAGTCTGTCCCGTGTAGGCTGATTAATGCAGCGATATAAAACAGCACACATGTCTTTGAAAGAGCGAGATCACTTTTTGTCACTGTCTCTTGAATGTCCAGGTTGTGGTTTTTACATGCTCTGTGAAGCAGTTTGTAACTGTTCTTTGGAAATGTGCTTTACAAATAACCCCTAATATTGTTCCCTGGGGTTGTACCCTCACAAAATCCTTGTTCCCACACCGGGAGTTGAACCCGGGCCGCCTGGGTGAAAACCAGGAATCCTAACCGCTAGACCATATGGGACATACACATGACTTAGCAGGCAAAGATATAAAACACAACTATACCCATCTTATTTTGAGAAGATAGGAACTTACATATAGTGTGTTTGACTGTTAATGATATTTTCTTCATATAATTGTACTGCATAATTGAACCCTCTGTGGCAACAAATAAAAGTACACATAATATGCCACCAGGGTGAAGACTATGGGAGTAAAGCCTGTCATTAGCTGCTGATAAGATAAGGAAGCGGTAACACACCTGCTGTGTGTAACTTTTGAGATCAAGCAACCTTCACATTAAAACATTTTTTAATGTCTTTTAATCTTTTGCAGCCATTTAGCCACTTTTAATGAAGACTTCAGCCACAAAATGAAATTTGTAATTAAGTAAGTCATGACGTGTTAACTTGAATTTGTGGGGAAAACTTTGTTTTTCTCAAATGCTTTCACAGAAAAAAGGTGAACATATTGATTTATTGATTGGGGACCATGTTTAACGACAGCAAAACTATATCAACACATCCAGTTGCAAACTCTCACACAACTCTTGCAGCATAATGCAAGTGTCATTTATCTAGTCGTATGCTCACTACTTCCCAAACACATGCATTTTTGCTCAAACCTTACAATTTTTTTTAAGATATTTTTTTGAGCATTTTTTACCTTTAATAGACAGGACAGTCAAGTGTGAAAGGGGGAGAGAGAGGGGGGGGGATGACATGCAGCAAAACACCACACCCCTGCACATGGGGCACCTGCTCTACCACTAAGCCACCGACGCCCCGCTCAAACCTTACAATTGACAAATGAACTGAAAGTAAAAATGATCTAAGCTCTCAGACCCCAACACTACCTTTTTTTAAATGCATGTGTTTGGGAAGTACTGAGCATATGACTGGATTAATGAGACTTGGATTATACTGCACGAGTTGAGTGAGAGTTTGTAAACAGATGTTTTGATATAAATCATATCAAATCAAGTTTATTTATATAGCACATTTAAAAACAACCGCAGCTGACCAAAGTGCTGTACACATGAATGACACACAAATATATTCGAAAGTAGACAAATATAAAACAGAATAAAATATCTAAGACCAAACCAAAGACCATTAAAACATACACCTATTAAGATTTGTCTTTAAAGTGTCAGTGGAAGGGAGCATTTGATTGACAGCCGAAGGCTATTCCAAAGCTTTGGAGCAGGCACAATCTGCCTTACCCACCAGCTTTGATCGCAGGACAGTTTTAAGACATTGTTCTGAGGATCTAAGAGGCTGGGAGTTGGAGTAGGAGCAGAGAAGTTCAGCAATATACTTATATAATTTTGTTGTTGTTAAACGTGGTCCCAAGTCAATCAATAAATCAATATGTCTGCCATTTTTTGCATGCATGAAAAACTGTTTCCTTCACAAACCCAAGGTAACACAACATGACTTACTGATTTATAACTGGTCACTCTGTGGGTGAAGTATTCCTTCAATGGCACTGACACAAGTTCCCTCCCGACACTATTTTGCAAGAGCCTCATTGCTGCATACTGGGCTCAGCGCTGCCAGAGACGATTGTGACTAGTTTAAAGAAACAACCCAGCAGAGCATACTTTTCCCATAGTGCGTAACAATAGTGGGTTCAGACAGATGATTCTCCAGGGCTGGCACCACACAGTACCACTCATCAACAGAAACACCACATTATATCACCTTTAAGGCGAGTCTCTGTGACTCACTGTCATGAGAGTCTGTACAGAAGACGTCAGAGACTTGGACTGAACATGTTGTGCCACAGAAACTGTGGCTCTAATTAGCAGGGAAAACATCTGTTTTGGTTTGAAGTGATGATTTGTCACTTATTCACCTTCGTCTGACTCGCTGTCAGAGTCCTGATTGATGATGTCATTCCTCTGCTCCAGCGCTTGCTCAAGAGCTGCCTGAAGTTTCCGCGGCAACAGCGAGGCCTCATCGTCCATCTGTAAACACGAGAAAACACTGCAGTCACCAGTGATAAACAACAGTGTTTGGAGAATCAGTTTCAAAGGCTCAGACTTACAACAGAGAACCGCATGTTTTACATCCCTGTGTAAAGTGAAACAGTGTAACGTTTGGAAGAAGAAATAACACAAAAGCTGAATTCATGAGCAACAAAATACTCACTCACTTAACTCAATGCATTTTGGGATTTTGCTGCTTTAGCCTTACTTGGTCTGATATGATCAGTAACCTACGATGGCTAATGTTTGCTAGCTTTAGTTAAACACTTACTATAGATACCGCTGCTGTGTAACATACTACACATTACAGTTTGCTGACTTTTTGCTACAGTTACACTACATGTTAGCATGTCAGAGGTTTTAGTGGTTTCATCACAAAAATAAAATGAGAATTACACACACACATACTTCCCCAAGACATATTTATTTTAGCATGGTGCCCTTCTACAATTGCCTTTATGCTGATTCATTCATTATCCGTAACCGCTTATTCTGGTTCAGGGTCACAGGGTACCCCACTGACATTGGGCAAGAGGCAGAGTACACTCTGGACAGACTGCAGGACTATAACAGGGCTCACACATTGAAACAGGCAACCATTCATGCTTACATTCACTCCTACGGGCAATTTGGAGTCACCAATTAACCTAATGTGCGTCTTTGGACTGTGGGAAACACCCAGAGAACCTGGAGAAAACCAACACTGAAAGGGGGAAAACATGCAACTCCGCACAGCCAGCAAGTGGATTTGAACCCAGAACCCTCTTGCTATGAGGTGACAGTGCTAACCAGTATACCACCATGTCACTCAGCTTTATGATGATGCCTTTTTTTAAATTTTCCTGCATGTTTGCTCTTATGAAATAGATGGATGAAAAGCAGTGCCCATTGTTCAGCTAAAATTACACAGTCTCGCTTTGTCAGTTTTTTCATTTCATAGACTAACCTGTCGGATGAATCGGTCAGTTCCCAGGTCGACCATTAAAGCCTGAGAAAAGGAAAAGAGGAGCGAATTATTCATCAGGTCATTAAAAACTTTATTTTATCTGCTACAAGTAGAAGTGTATATTCCTCCTGCAGTGAAAACGTACATTTGCTCTTGAAAAAACACACTCTGTAAAATATATAACCTTCAAAGAAGTTACAGCACAATGAATTCAGATATAAAACACATTTCTTAAAGAAGGTTTTTTTTTTTAGAAATGTTTTCATGAGTCAATCAGCAACAGGAAGAGAAATGTAAACAGACAGCAGATGCTGTTGACATGTTGTTTACTGTGACTGACATTGTCTTATCACACATATTTCCTCACAGGCTGACAGGTGTATGTGGAGACGGTGCCGATTTACACAAATCTTTAACAATTTTCAGCAGCAAACCAGGTGTGAACCTAACACCTGTATAACTGATTAAGACAACGCTTCAGTGGGCTTCTTCAGCCAAAATATTCATTGTGAGACACAATTAGAAAGCGATCAGAGAGAGAGATCTTTGGCTGGTGCCGCCCTGATACAGACTCTGTACTGGCTGCCTGTTACTACTTCAGGTCACTTGCTGTGTATCAGTGTGAATACTGCCACCTACATGTTCAGTATAAATAAAAATAATGTATTAAGTTTTTTTCAAAAAACACTTAATAGGTTTGTGAGGAGAAGACTTGACTTTCAATCTAGATCTTTTCAGGTAAAAAAAGTAGCTTGATGAACAAGAATACAGCAGATTTTTTTAGAGAATTTGTTTCATTGTAGGGCTGCAACTAACCATTATTTTCATTCATCCATTAATCTACCAATTGTGCTCCAAGATCCCAAAACCCTTTATGACTTTTTTAAATGTCTTGTATTACCTAATGCAACAGTCTAAAACCCAAAGATAGTCATGTAGCTATATATATTTGTTTTAAAAAAAATATGTTTATGTTTATGTAAACAATGGATGCAATGACGATGTGTAATGTGAGGGCGTTGACTGTACTGATTGAACTGTAAAGTATCTAATTCGCCAGATCCATTCAGCTTGACAGCCTTTTTCATGAGTTGATATAAAGATGGAGGACATGAAAACTCCCCAAAAGTGAAGCCCAAACATCTCCATTGCCCCCTAGTGGCTGGCTGCAGTACAGGTTATAAACCCCACCCCTTCCATGTTTGCGGATGGGACAAGAGCCAAACTAAAAGATCAAAGTACACATCAGAATAAATTTTTCCCAAAGATTGTGTCTGTCATTTTAGATAGTTCTAATCACTCTGCTGTATGTTCAAGTGGCTGTTTTCTAATGGGTTTGGTTATAACTATTCATTCAACACTATAAAGAGGGGGTTTGATGTCATGATTGACAGCTGCTAGAGCCAATCAGTGTGTTCATGACCAGAGGCATTGCTTGCTATTGTTTAGAAGGGTGTATGGGTGGTAACTCAATATCACTGCTGTGCAGACTCTGGCTCCAAATGATGTCACCTGGCAAGATGCCAGAGGCTGTATCTGGGATATTTTGGCATCATTTTTGTATAGTGTAAATAAATACAGTCTACGGTTGTCAACATAAGGTGATAATATGTCAGTGTTGTGTTTACAGCTTGTTCCACTGCCCCCAAGTGGCCAAAAAAAATTTATGCACCTTTAAGTTGTTCTGGTCGGAAAGGTGCAGTCTAAAAATATTTTGAATCCTGTCCTGTGTTTGGAAGTCACCTGGCTGTTTCCCTGATATAATACGACTAGAGGAGGAGGAGGTTAAACAGACGCAGCAACAGTCGGCCAGTTTTTAATGGAATTACTCTGAATCTGTATTGTTATAATTTATCAGCCAAGACACTAATATCCACTTTTCCACGAAACAGGCTTCAATCAGAGAAAGACGAGAACAATCAGGGACATATGAAGAATGCAGGAGACATCTGTCTGAAATATAACACTGTGTCTGTAAAAGAAACTGCGGGGAGGCAGACACTCTGAGGCGATGCACTCACCTCTTCCACAGGCAGCTCCTTGAGCTTCGGCAAAGAGCTGGACAACAGCCCCACCAGGAAGGGAGTGGGACAGCAAACAATATCCAACATGGACCCCGGCAGCACAGGGATGAAGGTGTGTTGCCATGAGAAGGGGTAGAGCAGCGCCACCACTGCGTGCATGCAGCTGGACAGGGTACTGATGATGATGATGATGATGATGATAATAGGAGAGAGAGAAAAAAAGACACACCATCAATCACCTTTACACTGACACAGCAACACCCTGCAGAGGCCACACCAGAGTAAACTGAACATGGTCAAAACAGGACAGATGTTTCACTAGATAATGAAAAACTTTTTTTTCACAGACTGAAAGGGGAGTGTTGGTTTGTATGGCAACAACATTTTCCTAAAAGTACTGCTGCAGTCATGAACTTTTGTAGTTGTAAGGGAAAAGAATCCTTGTTCAAATCACTGAACTACAAGAGTACAAACAGTGTATTTCTATCACTAATCTCTCTTCTCAGGTTAAATGACTACTTGATCCTCTTTTCCTTGAAACAGTTACTTTTATATGAGGCATAATAGCACAGCTTACGCACTCTGGCTTTGACACTTTGTTCTTCCCGCAACCCATCTGAGGGACAGCATTATCCAGGAGGCTGCTCTAACACTCTGACAAAGACTTCTCTAAAAGACCTCACATTTCAACAACTTCTAGACAAATGAACGCCTTAATCTCTTGCACGTCTCCCTCTTAGAGTTTAACACCGTCTACTGTTTGACAAACCACACCAAAGAAGGGTGAGTGCAATAAAATGCATTATTGTGACATTACTGTACTCTGTCTGCAGGGCTGGCGTGACTCTGACATGTTGCTATAGTTAAGCTGGAAGCTTGTTGACGCAATACCAAAAAGCACCAATTCGGTTTAACTCCGACAGCTGTGGTATAAAATGGAGATCACAAATAGCAGCCCGCCTTTCTCACGATCCGTCGCTTGTTGACAGTGGCTGACCCTCCTCCCCCCCTGTCCTCTACATACTGTCCAGTCCATGTACACAAAGGGAGTGAAAATAAACTGTGGGTCCAATCATACACACAAACACACACAGAGAAGCACTAAATCAGTATGGATCAAGAACAAGACCAGGGATCAAACACGGTATGCAAACGCACCCCACTTGAGATATATACACTTTTAATGAGGAATGTTTTCCGTGGTCGCTGTCATCAACAGCAGACAGAACATCCAAGTAAACAGAAGTTACTCCCTTTTATGTGACCTCATTCACACTGAGTTTCGGCTTACGGAGAACATACAGAGAGCAGAGATCAGTACCCTATGTGCTGAGATAAATGACAAAACTCCCACAAACCTTTCCACTCCATTCATTCAGGACTACATCTTTGCCACAGGCCTTTTCATCTTGACTTCCCATGAGTCAAATTGCCAAGATTAAAGTGTGTTTTCTTGACAGGGTTAAATAGAATTACACCAGTGAAAACCCAAAGGCTACAATAACCACAGCGCTCAGTCTTTTCAGGCCTCTTCCAGATCACTCATACCATGGAGCACTTGCAGCTCTGCTTTGACCGGTCTGATTTCCATTTGCCTGAGGAGGGCTTGATAATTCCTAACAGATCCCGTCTCCTGGGCTTGACGAGTTCCAACAGGGAGTGATGGGGCACAGATCTCAGAAAACCTTCGCCACAGGCTACACGCGGCCCTACACACCACTGATACCAAAAGGATCAATTACACTCGTTCCCCAACCACACACTCCTGGGACAAGATGAACTTGCAATAAAAACACTCTGCACTACCAGAGGTTGCCACTCCACTCTGGAAGGAGAGAGGGACATTCCCGTTAGACCAAAACTTCAGACCCTCAGACCACACATGGGTCTTAACAAAAGAAGGAAATACTCCGTGTCCAGGTCCAGAACAGGTAAGAACAATATTAATTTACAAAAAATTAAACATCTTAAACCCAGGGGGTTAAAGACAAACCCTTTTCTCTGCTGAATTTGATGATGTGTTTGTGTATGCAGATAAGTACAGAAGCTACAATGTGATTGTAATAGATTAGATTGGCTTCTAGAGATGGAAATGTTCTCTCAGTTTGTCAGTCTGTCCACCCCTTTGCTCCAGAATTTAATATTTTAGCAACAATTGGATTGCCATAAAAATTGTTCAATACTTTGGTTTATGACCAAATACCTGCAAAACCAGTGACGTTCCCATCAGCTGCAGCTGTACTGTGTTAAATGCTAATGTTAACGTGCTACTATCCCAGCTGGCTACTAATGTTATTAGATATTTATAATTAGTTGTGACGTCAGGTGACCAAATTCCAATGTCAGGACAACATCTAATGCCAACGTCAATTTGACATAGAATACTGACGACAGATGTAATTGATATTTTGTTGATTTTAAGTTGTGTTGGTGAGTTAGCAAATCCAACATCTCATGCCAACATCGTTTTGATGTGGAATAACGACATTTAGTAATAAAGACCAGAATCCAATGTCTGCAAAATGTCATATGTTAACATCCACACAACATGAAATTGTGACGTCATTAACGTCATTTTCATTCCAACAAAAAATTTAACGACTGTCCGATGTAAGAGTCCAAAGTCTTTCTGATGTCATGCTGACATCCGGTACCAGCTGGGATGTTAAATCAAGATGGAAACATGGTAAATATCTGCATGTTGGCATGCTTGTTAGGATTTAGGTAGGTTAGGGCTTGTCAATTGGACACAATGATGTTGGATGCAGTTTGGGCAAAGTGGTCATGGGTTGGGTATGGTAGTACTAGTTAATACAAGCAAGTCAGGACAACATCTATGCCAATGTCAATTTGACGTAGAATACTGACGACAGATGATGTTGATATTTTGTTGGTTTTAAGTTGTGTTGGTGTGTTACCAGAATCCAACATCTCATGCCAACATCATTTTGACATAGCATACCCACATTTAGTCGTAAGGTATTAAGAACAAATCCCAAAGTCTGCAAGAAGTCACATGTTAACATCCACACAACTAGACATTCTAACGTCATTAGACATTTAAAATATCGTCAACCCGATTTTCATTCCAACAAAAATTGAATGTCTGTCCAAGGTGAGGGTCCAAAGTCTTTCTGGTGTCATGTTGCCATCCAGTGCCAGCTAGGATGTTTTACCAGATGGCAAACATGGTAAACATCAGTTTTCCCTAAGAGTGTTTCGTCTAGTCCTGCACCACCGTGCTTCGATTAGCCTGTACTTGTCACTTTGACGCAATGATGTTGGACACAGTTTGGGCAAAGCGGTCATGGATTGGGGTAGTACTAGTTAGTACAAGCACAGCACAGTAGGGTGGGACTAGGCAGAGCACTTTGGAAAAAATAACGTGCTCAGAGCAAGTACAGCCAAGTAAAGCCTCACAGAGCTGCTAACGTGGCTGCAGAATCTCTTGTTATTTTGCTTTGTGTGGCATTTTTATTATCTTTTCAGGCAACAATAACTTCTGAAAGAGCAGAGCTGATTTCAGCTGATTCTTAAGCAACAACATATGTGTGGATTGTTTGGAAAATAAGACTTTAACATACCAAGGTGCTAGAAAGTTTGTGAGAGTGAACCATTTAAATGTTTAACCCCAAAATTGTACTTGTGAAAATGACACTACAGAAGCATGAACTAAGATTCAAAGATTAATTTGATTATTTCAAACTGATTACACACTTTAAATTCATATAAATTAATGACTCCACTCTCAGGGAAAGAGAGAAGAGCCAGATCCTCAGAGGTGAGGTCTGTGCAGAGCTGTTGTGTATTGAGGTTTGGGAGCTAATCCTGACATATTAGCTCTCGAAGGTCTGCCAGGCCTGGTTTAGTGTGTGTGAGGCTGAACTGGCACATACTCCAGGAAACATGGGATCCAGAGGCTTAGTCTGTGAAGCCCAGAGGAGGAGGGAAAATTTCAGTGTCCGAGACAGAGAGGGAGGGAGACAAAAGCCTGCATCACCACATGCTTCACGGCTCTACCAAAGCTCTGCACTGTGTCTACCAGTCCTGGCATGGCTAAGACTGATTCCATAGAGAGAGGACAAAGAAGACTAGACTGAACCACAGCTGTCAGACACCAGCTGTGCTGAAAAGCTGAGCAAAAGCATTCTTCAATGTTAAAGCTCTTCCACAGCTCAAAATAACACCTAGAAATCACATAAAGAGGCAGCAGAGTACATATAGACCTATAGGATTCCTCTGACAAGCTGCACGGGGTGTATTTTTATCCGCTAGCAGAATGTTCTCTGCTCCCTTAGTCCCCAAATGGTTCTCCCTCACTTCCTGTCTTTAAGGATCTCCAGCCACCGGCTCACAGTCTCGGCTCTCCGGCTCCACAGAAGGCAACATCAGAAGCCATTTTACAATGAGAAATAGCTTCCCGATGGGAAACTCTATACATGTTCTCATTTAAACCACAGTAACGTCTGAGCTTGATCAGAGCTGTCTAGAGAGCAGATGAATGTGTGCAGGTGTTTGTGTATATGAGTGTCCACATGTGTATGTGAGCGTCTACGCGTGGGTGTAAACATTCAGGAAAACGACACTGATGTAAAAATCAGCTGGTCAGGCTCTGGTAATGGCCAAGTCTTTCTCGAGTCTTTGAAAAACAGAAACATTTCACATGTTTACAGTGTGTGGATTTCACTCTACCTCTGAGTTAAATACCACATGGGAAACCGGTTAAGTTGTTAAAAGTGGTTTTGGCTTCGTGCCAGCTCTGCAGAGCATGTTACAGAAAGTGTTTGGGAATAACCGAGAACTAAATGAAGTGAGTGTGCCATTCTCGCTGATTAAAAAAATGCCAGCAGCGGTGGCAATAATTCTACCTGTCTGAGGACTGCAGACACCATGGATCATAATAATGCAGCTGCAAAACGTGTTGGTGCTCTACAGACCTCCAACTCACTTTCAGACTGTTGGATTGTCTCAAAACTAAAACCAGACACCACAAACTCAACATACACAGAATACACCATATCGTACCATTTATCATGTAGTTTAAATACCAGTTTTTAGTCTGCTATTAGACACACACACAGATCATAGACTGTATAATAAAGACAGACGACATGACAGCTCCCCCAAAAAAGAAGCCAAAACATCGCCTCCTGGTGGCTGGCTGCAGTATAGACCCTTTTACTATTAGTAAACACCATGACATTTTTTTTTCTTGACATTAATCAAAGTGACATTACCAGAAGTTGTCTTTGTCATGACAAGTTGACATTAAATTTGTTTGGGTTGTCTTGATTATGGCAACTTGACATTAACCAGGATGACATTACCAGAAGATGTCTTTGTCATAACAACTTGACATTAACAAGAAATGCACCTCTTTTTGTGTTTATGACAAGTTGGCATAATGATTATTATTGTTATGATAAAGACATATTATTGTCATTTACATGGCAAATATTTGTTTGCTGCCATATTAATGTTCTGAATGTTACATACAGTAATTTTATCATAATTAAAGGGGAACCAGAGAAGCAGCCTCCTCCTCCATACTCTCCCTCCCCTTTTCCTCTCTACCATAAGAAGTCTCATCTTTCATTAGATATCTTCCTTTTCTTCTTTGCCACCTCAATCAATAGACCTCCTACAAAAGGTCATCTGTAATCAAATATTTGATCATAATCTCACTTTGAATGTGGCAACTCTGATTAAAAAAAAGCACAAGGACGCCAGTGGGATTCAATCACTTAAACAATAGTCATATAGCCAATAATTTAGATCCAATATGCAGTAACACTTACTGTAGAAGTATTTCACCGCCATGCCCGCAGATAAATCCAGACATACAGATACAGTTTGGTAACCGTCCCCAGCTCTAGCCTGAGGACTGACAAGGCTGTTTACATAAGTCTGCAGCACTGACAAAAGCCATTCAGCATCTGCAGGTCAATCGAGTTAAGCAATTACAGTGAGAGTGACATAGCTGATGATGAATTTATCTGATTAGGCATCTGACTTGTTATTACAGGCAGCGGCTGGTGAGTGATCACTTTTAAAGAAATTGTCTGTGCAGACTTTCATGCAGAGACAACAACCTCTGTGGAAAAAACAACAGAAGGTTTCAGTGTAATATTCCAAGAGTTAAGTGAACGTAACACGCCAAAGAAACGAGCAATAGAGGACCCCACAGAAAACTGTTGCCTAACATGGCTGTTCCTCTTGCTTCCTGCTTGTGTTGGATATACATTTCAAGGCAAGAAACATACATCATGTTCTGCTGGTGAAGTATTTTGGGAATGGATTATGAGCTGGAGCCCCAGAGGGAGCAGCCCTTTTATCATAGAAGTCATTAATGCTGCAGTGAGGGTCTGTCACTGTTTTCAAAAGAAACCAAATCACAGGAGCTTTGCCTGTATGCATGCATGCTAGCACATTTAAATCCACACACACGCAAACACACACACATGTACACACACAAGGCTTGAGCAGAATATACAGTAAGCATGACTGCATATTTGTAGCATTTAATTTTAAAAATCATATTTGTAATTATCTTTTTTGTAGTTATTTCAGTTTTCCGCAACTTAATTTGTGGTTTTGCTTTATGTATCCTTCCTTTGCTGCAATCATTTAACTTGTAACTCAATGGTACACCCTCTGGGTAAAATGGAGCATGAGCTGGACCAGCAGTTGGTGCAGCGTCAGCAGAGATGCAGGCACTGCATTGGACTGTCACGGTGAAGTGGGGGCTGAGCTGGAAGGTGTAACTCTTGATTTACCAGTCTATCTATATTCCGACCCTCACCTATGGCTATGAGCTTCAGGTAGTGACAGAAAGAATGAGATCACAGATACAAGCAGCCAAAATGAGTTTCCTCCTTAGGATGGATAACTTTAGAGATAAGGTGAGGAGCTCAGATATCCGGAGTGAGCTGCTGCTCCTTTGTGTCACTAGAGGCCTGTTGAAGTGGTTCGGGCATCTGATCAGGATGCCTTCTAGGCGCCCTCCAGTTAAGAGGCTCTCCAGGCATGTGCAACTGGTAGGAGACCCTGGGGCAGACCCAGAACAAGCTTGAGGGATTACATATGTCATCTGGTCTAAAAAAAACATCAGGATCCCCCAGGAGGAGCTGGGAGGCGTTGCTGGGGAGAGGGACGTCTGGAGTGCCTTGCTCCCCCATGACCCGGCTCCAAATAAGCGAATGAAAATGGATGGATGGAATAATGGTATCATGTTTATCATGGTTACCATCTTTCTTTAAGTTGTTAGCATGCTTACATTTGCTAGACAAAAAGGCCTCTGTGGCCAATGGAAATGTAATTTGTTTTCCAGGTGGTTCACTGAAAAATGTCATTCTGACCCAATGATGGTGCTACAGAAAAGTTCAGAAAGTGCCAAAGTTAGTTCAGTTCATCCAGAGGGGAATATGAATGTGTGTTCCACTGATCATGATCCATTCAGTAGTTGCTGAGACATTTCACCAATAACCACAAATGTGAATCTCATGGTGGCAACTTATGTCTGGAAACCATGAATGGATGCACTTTGTTGCAAAGGCAAAAGTTTGTCTGAAAACTCACAGCCTTAATGCAGTGAGTGACGAACTGTATGACTGAACCAAGTTTTTTTAATAGTTACTGCACCCCTGTAGAAGAAGGTTTATCTCTTCCAGTAAACAGATATTGCATCTCATCATAAAATGATTGCTCTGCAAGATATCACAAAATTGCCCGTACAAATATGCAGTCAGTGTCTTGGGTAATATATGATGATAGTACTGTATCGTGAGCCACCTCATGATTCCCGCCCAATGACTCCTTGATGTTATCACCTCCAATAATGAGCGACTAAACCAAATTTCTCCAGGGATGCAGAGAGAGCCGTAGCTCATACATAGGGAGTGAACGTGGCATCATAAGTCAAATGGTGACAGTTGAGCCACAGATCACAGAGGGCAGAGTCGCACACACAGGAAGTGCATTCCTTCTCCTCACAGTCACTGCCCCCACTGATGTTTGTTTAAACTGGGCTTTGATACATGGAGAGATTACTTCCCCGCTCATATCTCCTCCCAATCCACCCTCGCCTCCAAAGCTCTAAAAGTACCCCTCTCTTTTCTGTTACAAGAGGACAGACTGGGACACTGAGTCCTCAGGGACTCTTCGCATCTTATCAGCCCCACCCTCTCCTCCTCTGGCAGTGACTCATTGGTGTGACCCACTTTTCCTCTGCTATCCAAACTGGCAGCTGACAACCTGACTGACCTGTTGGCCGACTCTCTGATACCAATCAATACATTATAATAATACAGTTAAAGATGGTGCAACTGTTAAGTCCCAGCTGACAAAAACCACAGTACAGTGCTACGATTATGTGTATTAAGTGTATGTAGACAAGTTATTACAATTCTGTCATCATTAGCCTGAATTAGTCTAAATGGAAACAAGCTGGCAGTCTGTCAAAAGTTTTTGGAAGAGATATTTCTCTGTTCTGGAAAACTACACGTGTGCCAGGACACGTTCCTCGGTCCAGATACTACATTATTTTTGTCAGAAACTTGTATTATGACAAAATGTGGGACATTTCTATTCCATGGCATTATGGTCTGTTCATAAAACACAATATGTGTTTTGGCAACCTTACTATAATATTTGTACAAAGGCTCAAACAGACCAAATGTCTCATACTGCAAGAGGAAAAAGAACCCAGTGTGACAAAAATAAAACAGGTAAATTACACTGATTATATTAATTTTAAGTTATATGGTGATTGTTTTTTGTTAGTATGCTAACAATATTTTCATGTTTCCAAAGGAGATTACAAGAAAAGGGAACCTATATAATATGATTCATACACTGTAATGAACTTCATGCATGGTAAAAAATATTGTTTTCCTGGGAACTATTCCTTTAATGCATTGCACATGTAATGTGTGTAGGGAAACATACAAATGTGAATGTATAGTATTATGGTCTAATATTACAATAATGGAGCATCATCAAGTAATCAGAGCCAAATTTAGCCCCAAACTGGCGGTTACTTACCAAATGTAATCATTAAAAAGTATATTTTCTTTATTGTATTACTGGGATCTGTCTTGCGTCAATGTTGTTCAGGGTTATATATGAGTTGTTTTGTAAACTGTCACAAATGTAAAGTTGTTGTGGATCTCAGGAAGAATAGCTGCTGCAATGCAGTAGCTAATAAGGGCCCTAATAACTAAACTAAATGGAACTGTGCAGGACTGTTGGATCAGACAAGACGCGACGCAATGCGATACGATATGATACGATACGATATTATACGATACAATATGATGCGGTGCAATGCGGTGCAATGCAATACAATGCGATACAATGTGATACAATACGATAACTTAAAACTTTATTTATCTAGACGGGGGAACTGCTGTGCAGCAGTTAAAATACAAAGTTAGAGTAGCGCAGATACAAAGCGTGCGATATACAAGGGCTAAAATAAAGTAGAAAAAGCTTTTTGTAAATGCGCTTGCCCACAAAAGAGAAAGTAAAAGCCAACACCTGATTTACTGTCATTTGGCAATTTGCCTCACAATATTTGGTTGTGATGGTCTGGCACCTGGTCGCTACCTTTTTATAAAGCCCTGACCTCACCTGAGTGTTGTGGAAGTACACGGCCATAAACATCCCCAGCAAAAAAAATAAGAAGAAAAAAAGAAAGTAGAGGCAGAGGGCAGAGTCTCTGCAGATAAATAAACCACCATACACTTCTGAGTGATGACTGAGAATGATTACTTCTTTATAAGTCTATGCATTGGTTTTTCATATGAAAATCCTGCATAGTTTATCTTTAAATCATGTTTTGGAGATAACAGTCTTTCTGCAGAGGAGCTTAGACGAACTGAGAGCCTCACCTGAGTTTATCAGCCACAAAGATGACTCTGCGCTCCAGCAGCAGTGAGGCAAAGACTCGTATCACCTGCCGTACACTGAGGCAGCTGAACAGGCTGTCAAAGTCCACGTGCTCCAGTCTGGAGTCAGTGGGCCGCCTCAGCTCGATGACCTGAAGGACCACAAAAAATGGGAACTTTATTACAGATTGTGGATCTCATTAACTGAGAAGATTTCACACAACTGTATCTTAAAATGATTTTGGGCTAATGGGCGTAATTAAAGAAGTGAAAGTAGTGGCTCTGACCTCATTTCCTGCACCGGGCAGAAAGGTCTTCACTTTAATAATCTTCCCTGGTGCAGGGAAGGGCGACTCCATCAGACTCCTCATGAAGGGGTAGACCAGGGCTGCTGAGACGCCTCGCCGCCGCTCCACCTCATCCAGGATCTGAACATGGGAGCACAGTTTCCTCAACAACACACCAAGTTCCTCTGGAAATTTGTTAATATTTAAAGAACCAAGGCTTTTATCCATGTTGAATGAAAAGCCAAGAATGTGCACAGTCATCAAGGTTATTGACCATGGCCAAAATTTATGGAAACATATTGCTATGTGTTTGAGTGCTAGCAATTGCCTGGAACTTAGTATTCAATTTCTGTTTTGAAAAATAGCAAATTAATTTCTTTCCATGCCTGTGTGATTGGAAATTTCCACCCAGTGTGCCTGTCTGCCTGTTTAGGTCCAAGCTGCCTGCTGTCTGGAAAGTTGATTGGAGAATCGCTTGTTTCAGGGTCATATGATATCACCTCTCTCGTCCTCCCCATCTTTCTGTCTGTCTGTCTCTCACACACACAACTCCCTCTGAAAGCAAACACCTCCTCCTCCTTTCGTGTTTACCATGGCTGTCTCAGGTTTGCTGCTGTACTGTTCTCAAAATGGAGGGATTCTTTTCCACTCTTTTATCTGTTGAAGGCCCTAAAAATATCACATGATGAACTAGACAAACTCGCTGGTGAACAATGACTCTGCTTTAACTCTACAATTAAATGCAGATTTTTCATGTTTTGCCAAACCTTCATACAGCCTTTAATCACATCCCAGTGAATTATTAAACAATGAAAACAGTGTATATTTGCACTCTGTCTTGGTTATTTCTATTTTCATGTCACAGAGCAGCCACTTTGTTTCAACAGTCTGGACTCACTCACTTTGGGTTAATAAGTAATCAGATAAGGCTGGAAAAGTCAAACAGAGTGACAGCTCTGCTCTGTGTTAGCACCACTGAGACAAAAGTGAAGGAAACAATTACTCTGGGAAATCAGGAAGTTAAAAAAAGAGACTGAAATAGGGTTTACCAATGAACAGGCGTTCAGCAGAAGGTCTGCTGAAAGTCATTTACTTCAGCTGTGAGACGGGTTAACCACAGCTACAACACCACACACAGTCTGCGTACTGTAGCTGACTGTCTACAGTACACGTGTGTGTGTGTGCATACACATACATGGGAAAGGCTGAACTCACCGTGGAGAACAAGTCGAAACAGCCCAATCTGCTGATGACACAGTACACCTCTGGAAGGCGAGGTCCTTTCCCAGTCGGCTGTAAGAGACAGCAACACATATTGGACACTGGTGTTGTACAGACACATTCACAGATGTTCTGAAAACTGTCTACAAACACAGATTGTGGGATTTATTCTGTAAGAGACAGATTAAAGGTCCAGTGTGTAGGATTTAGTGACATCTAGCGATGAGGTTGCAGACTAAGAGCAGGAGAACTCAATGGCCTTACAAATCTATAGCCTGTGTTTGTTTTGTCTGTTCTAGGCTACTGTAGAACAACATGTCGGACTCTGTGAAAGAGGACCCGCTCTGTATGTGGATATATGCTTCAATCTAAGGTAACAAAATTACAACAATTCTTAGTTTCAGGTGATTTTAAACTAATGAAAACATAGTCATTAATATTATATACCATTTCTGCCAGTAGATGCCCCTAAATCTTACACAGTTTAACGTCCTTTTTAAGGTTATATTTTAAGGCTTTAGAAGCTCCTCCAGAGCCACAAAAGACTTTATACATTTCTTTTCACGGGATGAATAATTTGCCTTGTTTTTTTTCATATTTTCTGAAACTGTCACTTTATGCGCACAGCACTAAACGAGACAGATTATCTGTGGAAAGAAAAATCATACTCATCTGCCTACTCTTTTGCCTTGCTGCATTTCTAATGGTCTTACTGCATGTGGACGGCAACAACCAGTCAGAGCAGAGGAGTCGCTAAGGCACCTGTCAGTCATGTCTATCACTGCTTGTTGACTGCGGTCAAACTCGCACAAGGCAGCACTGATCAAATGTGAAACAAGATTCTGTTACTGCATTGCCTATTTCTCACCTCAATTTTTTCTAGAAATATACAGTACAGGCCAAAAGTTTGGACACACCTTCTCATTCAATGCGTTTTCTTTATTTTCATGACTATTTACATTGTAGATTCTCACTGAAGGCATCAAAACTATGAATGAACACATGTGGAGTTATGTACTTAACAAAAAAAGGTGAAATAACTTTGTTTTATATTCTAGTTTCTTCAAAATAGCCACCCTTTGCTCTGATTACTGCTTTGCACACTCTTGGCATTCTCTCGATGAGCTTCAAGAGGTAGTCACCTGAAATGGTTTTCCAACAGTCTTGAAGGAGTTCCCAGAGGTGTTTAGCACTTGTTGGCCCCTTTGCCTTCACTCTGCGGTCCAGCTCACCCCAAACCATCTCGATTGGGTTCAGGTCCGGTGACTGTGGAGGCCAGGTCATCTGCCGCAGCACTCCATCACTCTCCTTCTTGGTCAAATAGCCCTTACACAGCCTGGAGGTGTGTTTGGGGTCATTGTCCTGTTGAAAAATAAATGATCGTCCAACTAAACGCAAACCGGATGGGATGGCATGTCGCTGCAGGATGCTGTGGTAGCCATGCTGGTTCAGTGTGCCTTCAATTTTGAATAAATCCCCAACAGTGTCACCAGCAAAACACCCCCACACCATCACACCTCCTCCTCCATGCTTCACAGTGGGAACCAGGCATGTGGAATCCATCCGTTCACCTTTTCTGCTTCACACAAAGACACGGCGGTTGGAACCAAAGATCTCAAATTTGGACTCATCAGACCAAAGCACAGATTTCCACTGGTCTAATGTCCATTCCTTGTGTTTCTTGGCCCAAACAAATCTCTTCTGCTTGTTGCCTCTCCTTAGCAGTGGTTTCCTAGCAGCTATTTGACCATGAAGGCCTGATTCGTGCAGTCTCCTCTTAACAGTTGTTCTAGAGATGGGTCTGCTGCTAGAACTCTGTGTGGCATTCATCTGGTCTCTGATCTGAGCTGCTGTTAACTTGCGATTTCTGAGGCTGGTGACTCGGATGAACTTATCCTCAGAAGCAGAGGTGACTCTTGGTCTTCCTTTCCTGGGTCGGTCCTCATGTGTGCCAGTTTGGTTGTAGCGCTTGATGGTTTTTGCGACTCCACTTGGGGACACATTTAAAGTTTTTGCAATTTTCCGGACTGACTGACCTTCATTTCTTAAAGTAATGATGGCCACTTGTTTTTCTTTAGTTAGCTGATTGGTTCTTGCCATAATATGAATTTTAACAGTTGTCCAATAGGGCTGTCGGCTGTGTATTAACCTGACTTCTGCACAACACAACTGATGGTCCCAACCCCATTGATAAAGCAAGAAATTCCACTAATTAACCCTGATAAGGCACACCTGTGAAGTGGAAACCATTTCAGGTGACTACCTCTTGAAGCTCATGGAGAGAATGCCAAGAGTGTGCAAAGCAGTAATCAGAGCAATGGCCATCATAAAGGAAATAGTCGAGTGATAAACCAGGCACCACCCACTAGCTGGATCAACTTTCTCATTTTACAGCTAAACAGTACACTAAAATATGTTTCTGAAAACATTTGAGATGAGAAATAGGCAATGCAGTAACAGAATCTTGATTCATATTTCAGCAGAGCTGCCTAATTTGACATTTTGAACTCAGTTTATGAGCAGTGATTGACATGACTCACAGCTGCGTTGAAGAGTCCTCGGCTCTGAATGTTTGTTTTCAGTGCACCATGGTAAGGCCATTATAAGGAACACAAGAACGCACAGGAATTTTTTTTTTTTTCCACAATTCATCTGTCTCATGAACTGCTGTGTGGATGTAGTGACGGGTTCAGCAAATATGACAAAAAATTATTCTTATAAAAGTTACCACAGTAACGTCAAAGAACCAGTGCAAAAAAAGTCTGATCAATGTCAACTGTGTGAAATTTAACTAATTTAAATACAAATAAATAAAGAGTCATAGACCTTTATTTACCTGTAGACCTGTAGACCATGATAATATCACGTGTAGGTAAGTTGTTTAAATACAGAGGCTTTTTTAGTCTTTAAATCTCAGCTGCGATCTGAGGTGAAAGTCTTTTATGTGGATACAGACTTCCTAAACACAGGTGGTTTATCTGCTCCTGCTGATCATATCTAGCGTCCTCTGTACACTCACACACCATTATGTGCTTTGAGACGCAGACACTCAAACACACAGACACAAATGAGCACAAGCACTCAAGAACCGCCAATCCACTTGTCCATATTAGGTATACAATTTTCTCCTCTTGTTTCTCCTCCGCTTTTCCAAATGGATGATTAAATCAACTATGTGGAGCTTGATTCAAGTCCTCAGGAATGCTCTGTTACTGCCAACGGCTGGTCGGGGAGGAAACAAAGTTACTGGAGGAGAGCAGCTCACCTCTTCCTCTACCTTCATTAAAATCTGCTTCTATCAAGATGAACCTTGGATCAACACAGCAGGTCAGGTTTGAAAACATCTTTTTGTCTGGTCCAAGAATTCACTAAAACATCTGGTGGTCATCCAGCACACACACATTCACAGAAGTAAAGACACTCCCAGTAAACCTCTGAGAACGTACACACTGAGGTACTGTAAACATACTCAGAAATACCAAACGGCAAACAAAATCACCACCACATTCACAGAATCCCACACAGTCATGCGCTCTGCCCGCAAGCTAAATGGGAAGCTCAACAAAAAAACTTCAAAGTGCACTCCGGCCTCATTATGAAGAGGAAATGCTCCACAATGACAACGTTAGGATTTTTTTTTTGTTTGTCTTTGTTTCGCCTCTCCTGGGAAACTCTCATTAAACTCAATGAGTCAATCCTAACTGCATTTTTAACATAACTTATTATATTTGTACACACTTTATGACTATGGCTGAGTGTCTGCAGTATTAACATTATTTAAATAGTGTGTAGCTACTGTGTTCCTTTCTGTTAATTTTGAATTGAAATGTATAATAACAGTTTCACATATTTAATATTAAACCACACTCATGCAGTTTTGTTTTTGTTTTGCTCATGAGCACTGTTTTTCTTTGCTTTTTGTGCTTTACATGATCTGTTTCCTGCCAGTGTCGATGGTATGTATCAGTGGCCCCAGAGGAAAACTGTATCACATGTTCACATAAAAAAAGGTCTGTCACAACAAACAGGGCTCAGCAGGGTGTGAACAGGGAGCAGAGGAAGAGGGGTTGAACGGTGGCTTACCAGCAGGCGTCTGCAGTACCCAAACCTCCTGCTGCCGTCCTCTCCAGTCAACATGAAGGAGAAGGTCTCACTGTAGCAAAAAACAAATGTACGCACATGAGACTGACACAAAGACACATGAAGACAATTACACTTAAGACGCTTCGGATTTGTTTTATGGGTGTGTTGGATAAATCCAGAGTTATTTAATTAACCCCAGGGACTAGATGTTAAGATATCTGCTTCTGATGCTTTTATTTCTATTGTTCTTTTATTTTTAATTCTTTACTTTGGGACAGAAGTTTATATTACAAAACATACATCAGGACAGATGGAAAATTATTTCTCCTGCTGTTCGGGTTTTTTAATAATTTAGGAACTTGCACATTTTGTGAGAGAGTAAGTGTGCACATAAGAACAATGAAAATTATGTCAGAGGGAGACTTGAGAAAAAGCAGAATAGAAATCAGTGCTTACAAAAATAAACAGCATCATAGGGTCATTCAGTCAACACATCCACAAATCTGTCCAGCTGTAATCAATCCATGACAGATAGCATTCACTAAATCTATCCACTCCTGTATTACGGGGGGTTCAGGAAGTAGTCAGCACCTTGTGGTCTTAAATAATGTTTGTTATATGGATTGTTTACTGTTCTCAGCTGCTCTTCCTGAGGTTTCTTCTATATTTTCCCCCGTTAAAGGGTTTTTGAAGGAGAGTTTTCCCTTTATCACTGTGAGGGTACAAGGACACAGGTTGTCAAATACTGTATAGCCCTCTGGGGCAAATTCCAATGTGTGATATTGGGCTATTCAGATCAAATTTAAATTGAATTGAATTTTGAGGGCCTTTTTACAAGTGGATATCAAAACACCAAATATATATTTATCAGGACGCCTTGCCTGAAAATCAACATGTCCTAAAAATAACGTGGAAAAAATTATTACGGCAGATTAGTGTTGCTATTCTTTATGTTAATAAAGTCTCTCACAAGCCCCCCAACTATATGGAAATGCAATGCTACATTGCTGGAGCACCTCCAAAGCTCCAGTGTGTAGAATTTAGTGGCATTTATTGGTGAGGTTGCACAACTTAAACTCCCTTGTGCCAAGCGTGTAGGAGAATTACAGTGGATGACACAAGAATATAAAATGCGAGTGCCCGTTTCTAGAGCCAGTGTTTGATTTGTCCTTTTTGGGATACTGTAGAACAACACGGTGGACTCTGTGGAGGAGGACGTTCTCCATATTGTATGATATAAACGGCTCATTCGAAGGTAACAAAAACACAACAATTCTTATTTTCAGGTGATAATAAAATAATGAAAACATAGTTACTACTAATAGATGTCACTGCACCCAACACACTGGACCTTTAAATAGACCAGCTAGTAAAAACAAATCACTGAATTACAAAGATTCTTCACCATACCTCGCGTACTCAGACACAGGACTCCAGTCTTTTGCATCTGGGAAACAGAACTGAGGAATAGCTTTGAGTCTCTGCTCTGCCTCCCTCATCTGCTTGGTGGGCCTCTCTAGCTGTGAGAGGAGAGGAATTTCAGTCAGCTCATTCTCCTTCAGATAACTGTGTCTTTTTTAAAAGATCCCCATGGATGTTAGCGTGACCAATAGATGACCAGACGACCATTTCTCCCATACAAGGTTAAACCTTTGCCCCCTACGGTTCTTATTAACTCAACAGAGTGAGTGTTTCCCCTGGCTGGCAGAGATGTACTTCTCCCGCAGGACACTTCTGAGGAATCAAATCTTAAATAACTTTAAAATATATCTTGGAATAAATAAAAACACTTCCCTGTAGCAGAAATGGTTCCTGTTATTTTTAACTGTGAGCAGGCTCCCAGACTCCCCGGGCTCTATGTTATTATAGATCTTAATTTCCAGGACAGCTTTAAATTGTCAACAACCTGCTCAATCAAGTGTGAAGAGCTCGTATAAATTTAGATTTTTACTTCAGTTGAAATAAAAAAAAAAAAATGGCATCAGTGACCGTCCGACGTAACACATCATCGTCATCATTTTCAGCACACACACTTCTGTAGTAATCCATGACTAAAAGCTCAGAGCGGGAAAGCCCACAGTACATAGTCAGATCTTGTTCTGGCAAGTTATTTCTAGATAACTCTGGCCTGCTTTATCTGTGGAATTAACATTTACATCTTCTGGACTGTCCAAATATGACTTAACCGGATTACACGTGTTTGTGAAAATCAACAGTTCATCTCTATCGTTGTCTCCACTCACTCACACAATATTAACTGTCATTAATTGTGTCAAGTTTTGAAAGCTGCTGTCTGTTCTGCTGACACATATTACATGATGTATATGAGCATGATGTATATGAGCTCTGCTGATCTGCTCATCATCACCACAGCAGGTGTTTTTAAAGTCACTCCCTACTGTCAACAGCATTAGTCTAAACAATTATAATAACATGTCTCTCACCCAGTGTAAGATTTGGATGACAGTCTACAGTGATGCATCGTATTTCTGATTTCTAATTCCTAATTCCTGAGCTAAAACACTTGAGGTCCTTTGATGCATTTTATGGGATTTATTCAGTTATACATGTCATGCTTTTACCTTGGGGAACTGGTAGGTGACCTCTGGGGAGTAGGAGTTTTTGCTGGGTTTCTTTTTTAAAGACACAACCACAAAATACTCAAAGAGTTCTCTCTCCTGCCACTCGATGAGCTGCAGCTCCAGTGTGCGGTAGCTGGGGGCACGTCGCAGGATGGACTGCAGTTTCAACAACCTTTGGGTGTGAGCTGAGGAAGAAAACAAACATTAAAGTGAGAGTTCACACCGAAATCCAAAATGCAAATTTCTTCTTTTACCTGTAGTAATAATTAACAATCTAGGTTGTTTGGGTGTGAGTTGTAGAGTGATGGAGAAATCGGCCGTAGAGATGCCTGCCTTCGTTCAAATACAGTGGCACTAGATGGCACTCTGCTTGTGGTGTTCAAAGCACCAAAGAAATAATTGTAAAAATTTCAACAACTATGTCTTTTTCTAGAAATCATGACTCAAGATAATCCACAGACCTTGTTGTGAGCAGTTTCATGTACAAACTATTTTCTTTCTGCTGAAGTATACCCGCCAACCACTGCACAGAAGAAAGCGTACATCCACTGATAGCTCACCTAGCACCGCTGAGCTAACAATCATTAGAGCTCAGCCGAGGAGGACACCATTAATGTTTACATCTGGCGCTGTCACAAGCAAGAGCCTCTCAATCATGAGTAGATGCACACTTCCTTCTGCGCAGTGATACAGTTAACAAGAGTAGCTCAGTGGAAAGAAAATAGTTCCTGCATGAAACTGCTCACAACAAGGTCTGTGGATTATCTTGAGTAACCACATCATGATTTTTGAAACAGACATTGCTGTTGAATTTTTTTTTTTTTTTTTTGGCACTTTGCACAAGCCAAGCGTTATCTAGTTCCATTATATTCAAGAGAAGGCAGACATCTCTACGGCCAATATCTCCAACACTCTCACTCCAAAACAGAGAGAAAACATCACTAAATCACATAAGTATTCCTGTTACTGAGACAGGAGATAAATGTTGTGTGGTTTACTAATAATCCCTGCATATGGCAAATGCAGGGTCACTTGTTAAAAACAAAACTGGGAAGCTGTTGCACAACTACTGAGAAAAACAGCTCAAAACATTTCAGAGCTGACGGAATTGTAGCACCTAACCACTGCAAATATAAATGCTGTGGTCACTCACCTTTGAACCTGTCATCAGAGTCACTCTCACTCTCACTGTTGTCATCTGGAGGCAGACATGAGACAGACAAGAACGTTTTCTACAGGTCAGAGGGCAATTTCACAAACATGTGTTTATGTCACAAGAAGGACACAGCAAGAACTCTATGTGGGTGGCTGAGACGCAAATATTTACTCGCTTATCTGGCCAGTGGATAAAGGGAATAAAGAGAGCCCTTACCTCTCAGAGATGCAGTCTCAACATTGGACATGGACAGCTTCTTCAGCCTCTTCTTCCCACGTTTAGTGCAGTAAATGGAGTTGATCCTCTGGACCAGCTGTAAACATTTGAAAGAGGAAGTTCTCTGTTGGGGGATCTGAAGTTTTGTTTCTTTTGATCCTAAGTATAGAAGAAGTACGTGGTGTTCCTGGCCAAAAGTAATACAGTGCTGTGCTTTAAGGGTTACTGAAAAGCTTCAATGCAAGTTCTTGAGAAAAAAGTACCACAAGAGAAACCCAAGTGGTAATAAAGCCCATCAAGGCACTGTGTTTTGAAAATGTCTTTTCCAAACTGAGGAGTTACAAGTGATCCAGAGCTGCTCTGCCTCTGACTCGGTGCCTACAGAAACCTGAGCTGGTCTGTGAAGCAGGACAGGAAAGAGAGCGCAGTCGGAGCTCTGCGAGGACTTAGTGCAGGTGTTTGTGTAGGATCTAGTAGTGTGTACCTTGGGGATCCTCCAGTGCCTGCGTGAGGCCATAGTATCAGTGGTGCTAGAGAGGCTATCATCCAGCAGGCCACAAGGTGACGTTGATACACCCCTCTGGTGGAGCAGCAGCATTTCATCGTGGCTGTAGCGTTTGGACAACTGTGACATCCGGTGGCTCTTTCTGTCACATGGACCAGGGAGGCGTAGGGACTGGCTACTGGGTTTGGAAGGCAACTAGTCAGAGAGAAAGAAGATGGAGAGGTCGGTTTATTTATTCCACTTATTCGTAAGCTTTTTAAAAATAGTCAACCAAGTGCGTTCATTCACGATATTTTCCTTTAAAATAGGAACACCACACTTAAACTCTCCCCGACTTTCCGAGTAGTATTATTGTTTTTGCAAATGCATCCAGATCACTCTCCATTTTTCTCAGAGCCTAACAGCTACCAACAACACAGGACACACTGCATATTTGTTTTCCACAGTTACTTTGGCTGCACCACAGTCCACCATTTCCACTACTAGGAATAGTAACTGCAAAGAACTAACACCGATACTCATGAGTATCTGGGATTAGCTCTCGATAGCTACTGGGGATAACAAAAGCACTATCCTCTTCCTGTTTTGGTTGCTCAATGGTTGACGCACTTCCTTTTTGCTGTAAAAGCCGTCATTTCCCAGGGAGTTTGTACCCAGTGGCAGATAGAAATGCATAGTCAAAGTGAGGCTTATAGAGAACCAATCTACTCGCTGATGGTTTCATTATTCTATAGCCATTACATTGTGTGAACAAAACTTCCACTTTATGTTACACTTTTTAAGAGTTTCATGAGGTCAAACCCTCATTTTAAGGTAAAATATACAGTAGTTTTAAGTGTTAGTGGCGGGGTCCACCATTCCTGTGCCAGATCCCAATTGCTGCCTAATGAATAGGGGATTCACACAACATAATGCACTTATATAATCCAGCGCTACCACTTCTAATTTTATCTCAGGGACATCAGCCTTACTGTTTACTGTTCACTCTCTTTACACTGAATCAGAGCTCCATTAGGTGACTGTCTAAGCAAATCAAACATTAAAAGAATTACAAGCATTAATGGGAACACAGGGTGGCTATTATGGCGAAGCAGTCACAGGAAATGCATTTGTCTCGGAGGTTAGCGCTCACAGAGGCGACTCATCAAAAATGAAAACAAGCGTGGTCACTTTAAAGGAATACTTCACTCTGCAAACGACCATTTGTATATCAATTACTCACTCTGTGTTACGCTGAGAGAAAATAAAGGGAACAATTACTTTGGTGTTTTAAAGGGTTAGTTCTGATTCATCAAAGTCACACAATAACACAAACTAACTGATTGAGACAGTGGTAGAGCAGCAGCTCCTGTGTTGTTGGGGATGAGATAAAAATTCTGATGCTGTCAATGGAGTCTGGCTTTGAAGAGAGCATAGATTAGTTTACTTGTAGTTCAGTCACTTAAAAGAAAGGGCTGTCTGTTTGGGAAGGAATAACTGGATAAATGAGACTTGGATTATACTGCACGAGTTGTGTGATTGTTTCTAAACAGATGTTTTAATATAGTGTTACTGCTGTTAAACGTGGACCCCTATGACTTCAATTCATACAGAATTTTGTCAGTTTTTGGATTCTTCATTCACTGTGGAGGCATGAAAAAACAACACAGATTTCTTCATGGATTCAAAGTAACATGGGGTGAGTGACTGATACACAAATGGTCACTTGGGAGATGAAGTATTCCTTTAAGCTGATAGAGGGACCAGCCACAGCTGTTAGATTAAGAGCTGCAGGGTGACGGGCTGCACCATACTTTGCTGTGCCCTGCCTTTGTAGAAAACTATTGTCACGGTGGAAAAAAAAACAGCTTAGTGACTGACTTCTTGATCTAAATTACATGAGTTTGTTTGGCTGTACTATAAACAGATACAGTAGTTTCTCTCCCGTTAAATTCCTGACAACGTAGCTGCTCAAGGAGCATTTGCTGGACTATTAAACCATTCGGTAACCATAGGTGTCTTCCCTTTGTAGCGTGAGACAAGTGTTTCTAAGTGAGGAGGCCAGATGGGCCTTTCTGTGGAGAATCACCAGGTCTAAACATATCAAACTGTTTCCTGTAGTGACAGAAATGAGGTGCAAGATTCTTTAAAAGATCTTGTCCAGGCACTAACACCTAATGAGGGGATTCACATTACAACAGGAGAACATATGTGTTATGTTTACTACAGGAAAACACATCAGTATTGTTGATCCCAACAGACTTGTGACTTCTTACCTGAGGTGGAGAGTTCAGCTTCCTGTCCATGGTGGTCCACGATCTGTTGCTCTCCACCAGACACGACTTCCGACCCAAACTCTTCCGCTTCAGGTCAACATCCTCATATGGGTTCTCCTTCTCTGTGGGGATGAAGTCAGTATTCAGTGCAGCTCAAATATAATGTCAGACAGCAGCAACTGTCGATGGACAGAGGATGTTTTCAACAGAAAACAGATGACACTGGGGTCAAAATGGGTGAACAGGGCCAGGGAAACGTGTCAGAGGCACAAGAGGGCCTCCCTGTAGTTAGTCAGAAAAGAGATGAGTCATGAAAGGTAAGTCAAAGGTCGCTCCCAGCTGGCTCAAGTGAACTCCCTTTTTTCAAAACAGTTACTGTTGGCAATGGGCCCCACAGGCCCCAGTGGGCCCAGCTGAAACTTCTGGACACAACACTACTGGTGAGTCACTGTCCAGGCATGCCAACTGTCTGCTGTGAGAGATGGAGGAGGATCATCTTCTTAGACTTAGACTTAGAGGAGTTATATTTTTAAAGGCCAGTGTGTAGGATTTAGGGGGTTATACTGGCAAAAATGGAATACAGAAAGTATGTTTTCATTGGAGTATTCAAGTATGATCACTTGAAAATAGGAATTGTTGTGTTTTCCTCACTTTAGAAGGAGCTGTTTATATCTGCATATGAAGCAGGGTCGTCTACAAAGTCACCATGTTACACAGACTTGTTTCTACAGTAGCCCTGAATGGACAAATCAAATACTGGCTCTAGGTAGGGCCACTCGTGTTTTCGCATTTTTTTGTCTTTGTGTCAGCCACTGTACTTAGCAACCCCTCCCAGATGAGCCAAACAGCTTTGGAAAAACACTAATTTTTAACATGAAGCTGCTTTATTCTGTGTTTTCAATGGTTTAAATCATCAGATCTGTTTGTTCTGAAGAGAGAGAGACCTCTGCAGATAATTCAGCTCCTGCTAAAAAAAACCCTGAATGTCTGAACTTCTGAAGTTATTGCAGAAAAAAGGTGAACACACATTAGCAGGTGCTAGGCTAGCAGCACGTCTGTGATGAGCCGAACAGCATCGGAGAAACACTGATTTGCAACATGAAACTGCTTTGTTCAGTGTTTTTACTGGTTTTAATCACCTGGTCTGTTTGCTTTGGAGAGGAGGAGACCTCTGCAGATAATTCAGCTTCCGGCAAAAACCTCCTGAACAATAAACACAGAAGGAATCCTAACCAGGAGTTCATACTTGGCACATAGGAAAAGATTCAGCTGGTTTCAATCTGCAATCCTCACCCTAGATGGCACTAAACCTACACACTGCTCCTTTAATGTTCACATTTATGGTTATAATAACTGTTGAAATACACATACACAAAAAAAACATGCATGCCATGTGCTTTAACATATGTTGGACTTGCAAATAAGGCACAGGCAATAAGGTTTAAAAACCACAGTTTAAACTCAGACGAGCGTCTAAACTGTCAACTGATTTTAAAGACAAACATCTTTTTAAATGCATCACTGTGTCTCAAGAAGTTACAATGAACACAGACGTCGCCACTGCTCCTTAGATGCACTTCAGTGACTAAATGATAGCAGAAAAGGAAAGAAAAGGAACATTACAGAGCGCTGCGCAGCTCTCACTGATGTCACCTGGCAGAGGGCCAACTTCAATAAAGAGAAAACTTGTGTAACGCCACAGTCCATGTCTATTCAGACATGTGCTCTGAGAATAGCTTTTTGGCAAGGTCTGAAAAAGGTTGTGAGAAAGTGAAGAAACCACAGCGAAGAATAAAAACAGAGCCAGATGGCGTCGAAATGCATGAGGGGAACTTTTTCAAAGAAAGAAAAGCAGTGTTATCTGTCAGTAGAAAGGAAAAGAAGAAGAAATCTATTTGGTAGCTGTGCTCCTTCTTCCTGAGTATATTAGTGGAAAACCCGGTGAACTCGGCATCTCAAACAATGAGTGTGTGTTTTAAAAACATCTTAGAGTAACCTAAAGGCACAGCTTTGTTCAGTTATCTATTTTAAGGTTAATTATTGAACCTGTCCGAGGTAAATACACACACCCACGCACACATACTGCCAGGGCTCCTCAGAGCCTTATGTCGTGTCACACAGTAAATTAGTGCACTGAAGTGATTTTCTGTGCATCATTAAAGCTGAGGAGCAGAATAAGAGGGCTTAGTGTGACCCCACGTTGTGCTGCAACTCCATTAAACTGAAGCAATACTGTAATGAGAACCTGCTGGGAAAATGATATGTCTGCATAGCTGCTTATGTACTGGAGGGTACTAATCTACTCCTCTGATTACAAACATCCAGATCTCTCTGTAACACACCCCCAGACACACAGTATTATGCAGGGAGTGGACACACCTCGGCTGCACACTGTGATTGTGCATTTCTGTGTACACAATGGGCTCTCTGGGCAGGGCGAGGCACAGAACAAACTATACCAACAGCGTCAGTATCAGCTTACACTATAAAGTGGACGAGCTAAAGTATAGTGGCACCGCTCACCGATTCAGTCGTAAAACAGGAATGTGCATAGGATGAAAAAATAGGTTACAGTTTAGTAAAAACAGTTGGCGGCACCACAAACCATACAGTGTGTCCATCATGAAGGCTGCTTGTGACCACACTAGTGAAAGTACGTAGGAGAATTCACATGGCACATTTTAAACCAAAGGATAACAGGATCACAGGTCCAGCTGTGTATGTAGCTGTGTGAGTGTAGCTTTATTAAAAACTGAATCACTCACTACATGCACTAGGCCCCAATCACACAGAAGGGGTTTTAGGAGCTGGAGGTGCCTTTTAGTAGTTGTTTTTAATGAGAATGGAGCTTTTTGCTCACGGTTTTTGCATTGCTACTGGCATTTTTGCCGCAGTGCTCTGAACTCCTCGAGTTGAAAAAACTTCAACTCGAAGTGGTAAAACACCCCATGCCATCTCTTTTCCGTCATCTTTTTTCCCATTGTCCAATCAGATGATTTGAGAGGCGGCGGGCCTTCTGTGGTGGTCACAACAAGTTTACAGTTGGTAAACAATGGACGAGAAACTACTGGAAGTGGTTGCAGCATACCCAGAGCTGTACGGCCCAACAATAGACAGCAGGTTGTCAAACTGTCCCCGAGTCATCCTAAAATATGCCTGGAAACAGCCATCATGGAGGCGAAGCTCCTGGACCAACTGGTGGTACTCCCTGTGATCCACCCTCATTCTTAGCGCCTTGTGTTTTGCAACCTGCAAAATGGTTTCTGTGTGATCGGGGCGCTAGATAGTCGCTTACATTTATTCACAAGAGTAAGGCCTTGTCTACACATGTACAGATATTTTCGTTTTAGTTTTAGGTCATTAAAAGAAACGCCTTCTAAGTTGCAGATTTCTCAAAACTCCAGTTACTGTGTGTCTGTGGGGACAGAGTAATCTTTTCAATTCACACATGCCTATTGTTACTTTGTGTAATGAGTATATGCTAGTAACAGGAACAACAATGGCGGACTACCAGTTTTGTTACCACTGCTTGATCTAACTTAACACTTAAACTTAGTATTACTGAACCACTTCACGGACAAATGGAGGCGTATGGTACACCCAATGCTTCTGCTCCACCTCAGCGTCCACAGTTTAAAGTCAGCCAGAAACGATGGTTTCTGTCCCACCATCTGCCAATTTGACGGCACGGTCCAACTAGCAGATGGTGGGGTTGTTGTCGAGAGTGGGATTGTTGTCGATGAGAAGTTGAGGAAAAACTTTCATATGTCCAGAGCATCACTGGTATGTTTGAGTGAGCTCCTTTATCCTTTTTAATTGAACAGGAATCAACAGTAATGATATCTCCAGTTGGTAAAAAGGTAACGTTAGCCTGTGCACTTAACTACCTTTATGATGATGAGGGAGACGGCTGAAGACAGCCGATGCCAGTGAGCATTTGGAGTCGTTTCTGCGCTCTAGTGTCGACAGAAATATCTTGTAAAATAAAGGTTGTGTGGACAGAATTATGTTTTGTAAAGGAGGGGAAAAATACCCATTTTCAAAGACATCTATACGCGTGTAGACAGGGCCTCTGAGCAGGAAACACTTGGGAAAACTACGTCAGCGAACACAAAGCTGGGAGTTTGAACAAGACGATGATGCAGACAGCTGAATCATCGTGTTAGCACAGGGTGTGATTCATCTGCCTGTAAACAGATCACTCATTGACACTCCATGTATCAATCACACTCGTCAAAAGCACTTAAAACAGTCCCCTAATATCACAATCCATCATTCAGCTCTAGAAACACTGTTGCACGGGTTACAAATCACTTAAGGTAAACATCTGGCATCAAGCACAGGTACCAAATGAATGTCCCACAAAGGCGGCTGAGGAAGCCAACATGTTTTTTTCTGGTTCTCTGTATGAAATGCCTGTTAAAATAGGGGCACAGAGAGACCAAAACATGGCTCATTTACTGCTGTGGTTGCTTCTCACATGGATCATCTGACCTGTAAACCACTGTGCATAGCGGTAGTGGAAACCAGTGCTCTCCTCCATAAGGATTCATGTTTGAAAGCTTTGTTTGAAATAGCTGGAGCAATTTCAAACTTGCTCAAAGACAATGTCCTTGTCAAGGAACAAAGAGAGACTGGCAAAAGTTGTGTCTCCAAACTGCAAACTCCACACTCACAGTGCTGGGTGAACAATGGGGACTTTGTTGGGATTCACATGAAAATCAGGCATGCCCTGACGCTCTCCCTGAGACGGCTGCACATCCTCAGCTTCAAAAGACAAAAAAAAAAAAGTGAGCACGACACTGATCATCGATTTGAGAGCAATGCAGCTACTTGTAGAAATAACCATGATGTAATGTAATACTTCATAACCTTATTTGGTCAGAGTTTTTATCATGAAGAATATTTCACAGCGTGAAAACTTTTTACTGGATCTGAAATTCAAGCTTCATCATGAGACCATACTCACACTGACACACATTTCCACCACATTAAGTATGCACTGCGGGAGCTGGCAATTGGACCGGGCAGAAGGCCTGGGGTCATTTGCTAGTGGAAAGGAATTTGGCTCCTCAACAAGACCAGCATTTCATACACACATTATCTCACATTCGAGAACACTTGAGTCGATCCTGTGTAAAGCAAGACACAAAACGTGCCACTGTGGAACGCTGATGTTCAACGATCAAAATACAGATATTCTTTACCGCAAGTTTGGTAGACGACCAGACAGCCTTTACAGCAAAATACAACCTATACAACCACATGTTGTCCATTAATCTCACACTCAGGCTGAAAGTTTACAAGAGGCAGATGCAGGAGGAGCTACTCTCACAGTTTTATTTCATTAGGCCATGCTGCATGGGGCTATCACTTTCACTAAAACATCTGCCTACTGTCTTCTAAGGTCACTGTTGCATTCAAAATAACCATGTTATGTATGTTTTTATTCTTCGTAGAAGGTTTTGAACACAAACTAACACATTTTCTTATTTGGAAGTAGAAGGAAATGTCACCTTATATTTAATCTAAGTGTCAGTACTGTCAATTACAGTAAACATGTCAGTAAAGCTGAAGTCATAAATACAACATATGTGTCATAAATACTCCCTCACAGTGTGTGAGTCAATGAGTTACAGCTGAGTAACTTTAATGTTTCATCTTGACCTTTGAAGGACAACTTTCAGATTACAACTCTACTTATAACCAGTGTCAAAAATCACATGATTGTTTAGGTATGAGTAGCACTGAACTGTTTCAGGGCAGCAACTAACAATTCTTTCCACTATCAGCTCATTTGACAATTATTTGACTTTCAATCAATCACTTGTCTGGCCCATAATATCAGAAAACCATTAAAAAAAAATGTCCATCCACATCTTCCAAAAACCCAATCTGATGTATTCAGATGTCTTTTTTTGGGCGACCAACAGTCCAAAACACAAAGACATTCAGTTTAATGTCATGCAAGACTAAATACCTGTCAAACAGAACACATTTCAGCAGCCTGGGGTGGCTCTTTGTAATGGCTTTCAATTAAAGTGACGCATTTTGTTGCTTTTTCATTGCTGAGTGCCTTGTGCTTTTCCGCTCTATGCTCCTTGAGTTTTTGCATGAGCTCCCTGAATGCCTTGGGTTGAAAAAACTTCAAGTCTTAACGTAAAAAGTGTCCAGCGTCATTGCCATTTTTTCCCATTGTCCAGCCACATTAATTAGTAGCTGGCGATGACAACAAGTGGTAGCGTGTTAAGCTAACGTGGCCCTACTAGGCAAGCTGCAAGATATACCTGAAAAAAATTGTAGGCTTAACTACTTTCTAACTTTTTAACACCTGTAATCAGGTCTGACCACTCACAGCAGATTGCCAAACTGTACTCAATTCATCCTAAAAGGCGAAGCTCCTGGACCAGCTGGTGGCACTCCCTGTGATTTCTCCTCTATCTGCGGGTCTCATGTACAATCATGTGGATTTTTAATGCAGATTTTAAGATGAGTTCACTTCAGAGCAAAATAGCCGTGAAGCCAAGGACAGATGATTCAGTGGTTGCCCAACAACAATTAAAAAAACAAGAAGGAAGGAGCAAGCTGCAAAAAGCGCTCTGTCTGATCAGGGTAGGCCTCAACAAAAAAAGCGGCGTGGTGCACCTAGCGCTTTAAACCCTGCAAAACACACTCTATCTGATCAGGGCCTAAAACCAGCAAATATACACATTCAAGAAGCTAATACCAGAAATATTAAAGGGGCAATAAGTGAAATTCATCATTTCTAAAAAAAAATTGCTATGTGAAGAACTAGAGGTGTAATTTCATCAGGAGTATAGCATGACGTCACACAACCTCTCTCTGTGTTGGTCTCCAGCCCCTTGTTTACAAGCCAGTCCGGCTGGGCGTTCATGTACGTTCATGTGAATCCCCACCTCCCCCCCCGGCTCTCGGAGCCCTTGGCCCTCCCTCCCTATGAAAGGCTACAGCCAGTGAGCAATGGCAGCGCGTATTTTCAAAGTGAAATGGCGGAGTCAAATGTCTGTTTTAATTAGTGTTACAGTAACATTAAGCACATGTTGCTATGTCAATTCAATTAAATTTAATGTTACAATCATAGCATGGGTTAATGTCCGGAGCTTGAGTTATTAGTGGCTCTGTCCCAGCAATGGGTCAGGCGTTATGGTTGTGTTAGGTGAGTAGCTCGGCAGCCCAGCTAACATTTGCAATTTGCAATGTAGCATTGTAAAATGTAGCCCGGCGGGCAGCCTGGCGGCTGTGTTTAGCTATTCCCCTGCCTACTTCAATGATGATGGTACCTGTAATAAATGTAATATATTTGCTGATATGGAGGTTAGGCTCAGTGATTAGAAGAGCTGGTTGAAGTTCTCCATAGCTGTAAGTTACTCCAGTAGCCGTAGTAGCTCTAGTGCTATCTCCAGGAGCTAACGCTAACGTTCCTACTCTTCTGCGTGAGCCGGAGTCGTAAGCTCGTGAGCCCGCCAGGCAGAGAGCAGAGGTAGAGGGAGGTGTGGCTCATGACACACTTTGTTTTGGTCTACAGGCAGTGCACAACAGCAAACCTAGCGGTGAATCAATTTCGCTTTTTGCCCCTTTAAGTCATTTTCATTTTAAAAAGTTACTTGTGCAATTAATCATTTATCAAAAGAAGTTACCAATTAGTTTTCTGTTGATCAACTAACTGATTATTTGACCCGTGTCAGACAGAAACTAGTGACTGATCAAAGTGACATGAAGGTCCTCTCTCCTGTTTTCAAAGCCAGTGAACCAGTGCGCTTACCTACTATGTCCTCATAGGCATTTTCCTCTAAAGTGCTTTTGGAAGTGGGTCGGCTCCGTGTGTCTGTGGTTAACGTGCCATTCTCTGTGGGTGAGGACGGATATGAAGATGGCAGACTCGTAGCATCCTCCGACTCACACGACTCCCTGGGAAGAAATGAAAAGACTGTAAGATGTTACATAGTCACATGCACATAATTACATGGAAGAAAGTCACCAAGTGTCAGTGAATGAGATCGGGGGACTTCAGGTGAGTGAGTAACTGGATAAAGAGGATGTGATACAAAGAGACACTGTGGCTGAGGTTGCAGGTGTAGGAGGGTGCATGTTTAAAACTACCCCAGTTCAAAAAAAGTTGGCATGCTGTGTAAAACATAAATAAAAACAGAATACAATGATTTGCAAATTCTTGTTGACCTATATTCAATTGAATACAGTCCAGAGATAAGATATTTCATGTTCAAACTCATAAACGTACTGTTTTTTTCTAGAAGTATACACTTATTCTGAATTTGATGCCTGCGACAAGTTCCAAAAAAGTTGGCACAGGGGCATGTTTACCATTAGGTTACATCACCTTTTCCTTTAACAATGCTCAGTAAGTGTTTGGGAACTGAGGACAATAATTGTTGAAGTTTTGAAAGTGAAATTCTTTCCCATTCTTGCTTGACATACAACTTCAGCTGCTAAGAAGTTCGGGGTCCGCATTGCTGCATTTTGTGCTTTACAATGTGCCTCACATATTTAATGGAAATCAGGTCTAGACTGCAGGCAGGTCAGTTGAGTACCAGCACTCTTTTACAACACAGAATGTGGCTCAGCAATGTGTTACTAGGAAGCAGGGAAGTGTCTGGATGGCAGCATATGTTGCTCCAAAACCTTTATGTACCTTTCAGCATTTATGGAGCCTTCACAGATGAGCAAGTTACCTATGATGTCATGGGTACTAACACCCCTTCATACCATCACAGATACTGGCTTTTGAACATGGTGCTGGTAACAATCTGGATGGTCCTTGTCCTTTTTAGCCCGGGGGACTTTACAGCCATAATTTCCAAAAACAATTTGAAATGTGCACTCATCACACCACAGCACACTTTTCCATTTTTTGTCAGTCCCTCTCGGATGAGCTCAGGCCCAGAGAGGTTGGTGGTGTTTCATGATGTTGTTGACATTTGGCTTTCACTTTGCATGGTGGAGTCTTAACTTGCACTTGTAGACATAGCAACAAACTGTGTTTACCGACAATGGCTTTCCAAAGTGTTCCCAAGCTCATGTGGTAATATCCCTTACACAATCAGGTCAGTTTTTAATGCAGTGCTGACTGAGGGGTCAAAGGTCACAGGCATTGGATGTTGGTTTTCAGCCTTGCCCCTTACGTGCAGATATTTCTGTGAATTCTCTGAATCTTTTAATGATATTATGGATTGTAGATGGTAAAATCCCTAAATTCTTTGCAACTGTGCGTTGAGAAATGTTGTTCTCAAACTGCTGGACTGGTTGTCCATACAGTTTTTCACAAAGTGACCATCCTTGCTTTTGAACACCTGAGCCTTTCGAGAATGCCCCTAACATAGCTATAAGCCATACTATCATTTGTTACCAGTGAACGTGTTTACCTGTGGAAGTGTCCAAACAGGTGTTTTATGAGCATTCAACAACTTCCCCAGTCTTCTGTTGCCCCTGTCCTAACTTTTTGTAACATGTTGCAGGCATTAAATTCTGAGTTAGTATATATTTTAGAAAAAACACTAAAGTTTATCAGTTTATCAAACTTTTTTCTAAACTATACAGCTATTTCAGCGTGCTGCAGAAAGAGCTCAAAATAAAGCAGTCATTAGACAAATGTATATAGGCTACATGAGTAATGTCAAATTAACAGCCAGCAGGAAATACATAATAAGATGTCAGCGGGATAATGTGACCTAAAGAAGGCCTAATTAAACTAATAATTTTACTGCTACAATACCAGTCATGTAGATGTAAATACATTAACCAGTAGCAAGGGTCCCTGCAGTCCAGACAAACAGCCAGAAGCCAACAATTACACAAGCCACAAGCCAATAATGACAACTAATAAGGCTCCAGCCACACACTGTGGCATACACTGAAACAAGAATCATGACCTTTAACTTTTCCCGGAAACAATCTTAACTTGAAGCGAAAGGTACAAAGGGTATTAGAATGTAGACATAGCTGAGATGATAAATGTACTCACGTATGGTTCCATACACACACTAATCAGATGACGCACTCAATGAGCAGAAGAAACAATGTGAGGTAGACAGACGAGAGTAAACAGAAAAAGTCCAGATGGTTTTAAAAATAGTCCAGACGGCCAGCTTTACTTCTCCTCCACTCACCAACTAGGAACAGAGAAAGTCCAAAGCTTTGTCTCATCCCGTAAAAAACCTTAAACGAGGAGCCACTAATTATAAAACACAGAAAAACAAAAACACTATGTTCTCCGATCACGAGGAACTTCCTGATAAGTCACAAGTAAACATAACATATACTATTACTCAGTGTTCCCTGCACAGTGTAAAGTCACACATCACATGTCACAAGGCACTGCAGAGGAACTTTGCTACATTAGTGCTGGGATCTACAGTACGGTCGTGTCGCGCCATCGACAGCTTGTGGCTTTTAAGGTTGGCCTGAAATTGCTGGAGCCACAGGAATGTTAAACACAGAGTCCAAGGGATGAACGTTTAAGGATTTCATCCCTATTTTACATAGGGACAATCTGGAGAGGCCCCACCCTCACGTAAAAAAAAAGCTGAGGCCTTCTGATCGTGAGAGCTATAAGTTAAGAAGAAAAACAAGAGCAGACAGGATCCAAGATTCAGCTAATGTTAATGCAACAAAGGGGCACAACAATCCAGTGTTGGATTTCACTGGTTTCTATAAGATATTCATAGAGTATATTCAGTTAGAGGCAAAGTTTGAGTGAACATCTGTTAGAATAAGAATATACTGTAGATTTGGTGGTGTGTGTTTAAAATGCCAAGTCTTTTTATGGACCAAAGTGAATTTCTGGAAAGACTGACATTTCAAATGCTCTGTACAATAAATCAGTTATTTTTAGTATGAGCTGCTTTTATGATACCTGGGGCCAGATGCATAAATGATGTGTATGCACGAAAGCCATGCACACACCTTGACCCACACATAAACTGGTATTTATAAAGGAAGAACGAGCAGCGAGAGTGTGTGCACCTCACGCATTCTTAAAACCAGGCGTACACGTGGTTTTAGCTCAGATAGCTGTGGGGGATGTGACGAGGAGGTTTTTAGGTTGTTTGCCAATTTCACTTATTTTGCTAGGGCTATTATTTTTGCAGGCTGCACAGCACTCTGTAAAATGTCAATCAAAGGCACATTTATAAGGTTAATTTTAAACTACGAGTGATGAATTTCATAATGATTTTTATTGACATTTCTCTCCCTGTTAGTCATCATTTAATTTTTACCTGTGGCACCCTTTGTAAAGTCAGGTACAACATGAGCACCATGAATGAATCATTGATCCTTCTTATGATTGCAGACATGTAATGAGTTTGTTGTACAGACGCTACAGATGTCCACAGATGTGAGTAATTACAGCTGCTTGGGCAGCGTTGGAGAGCCTTGTGATGTGACGCAGTTGGTGAAATTGCGATTTCGTTACCATATTTCTCATCGATGAGTCTAATGAATGGTAAAGTTGCACAAGTATATGCAAACTAATGTTGAGCGGTTTTTCTACATCCATTTATGGCAAACTGTGGGTGTGGAAATGAGACTTGACCCAATGTCACAATGATTGACATTTATGAAACACAATCAAGTGTACACACGGCTTTATAAATCTGAAGAAAAGAACGCGTATTCACATTTCTTTCTTTGTGGGTAAATAGTTTTTGTTGTAAATATACATGGAGTTTTAGGCATCTGGCCCCTAGTAGGCATTTGTCTCATGATAAACCTGTGATGACATGATTCAATTTGATTAATTTAGGACAGTTTGGGTACTGTACTGTACTTTTTATCTTAATTTAAAAAAATATATGATTCTTCAGTGGTCTTTTTTAAAACATAACTGATTCAACACTGATCTCTGCTTCAAATTCTAACAAACATAGGAGAACCAGAGTAGATCACGCCAACACCACAACCAGACACACTGAGCAGTAACTTAGAAGACCAATAAAGCAAACTCTTGGCTCAGCATCCAGGTTCGTCTGTCTGATAGGTAACAAAATTACTAAAATAACTTTCCAAAGACATCTAAACAGATTCAAAAGGGATGCACCGATCCAACTTTTTCTCTCCTGATACAGTTTTCGGTACCTCAGCTCAGTGTAGGCAGATACCGTGTACTAACTCACTACCAGAGCTTTCTTTCTTCCTCATTTAAAACCTGTATAAATTACTCGGTAAAAATCATTGGAATCACTTTTATTTAAAGTAACATGGGGCCAGAGATTGCTGTGGCACCAAAGGCTTTGGCGGTCTGCCGTTAAACACTGAATTTCACAACGACATCACAAAGAAACTGCATTTGATACAGATTAGTGGCCGAGACACAGACCACTGATATCCTCACCTGTCCTGCGACCTCACTGGGGCGCTCCCCTCGATCTTCACCGTTCGTGTCATGCTGGGTGCAGGGGTCGAGGGCAGAGGCGGGGGAGACTCAGAGGTTCTGTTTGGAGGTAGTCCATTAGCTGGTGACACACCCTTCTGGTCTCGTTTGGCGTCGTACTCAAAAGTGCGTTTGGGCTTAGGTAAGGGGTTGACCGGTGTGCCGACAGAGGTCTGCTGGCTCGGTGGTTCTGGGCTCTCAGACCTGACTGAGCTCACACTAAATCTTTGTCTGAGTTTAGAGAGCTTATCAGACACCAAAACAGCATCTGGTTCTGTGGCCACTGAGCAAATGCTGCTGCGCTTACTGGTGCATGTACTGTCCAAGTCGTCACCAATAACAAAAGACTTTTGTCTTGTCTTGTCAGGAGCATAGCAATTACTCAGATAACGTGGAGGGGATGGGCTGGGGTTCTCCTTCAGGGCCTGCTCTATCTTTTGTATCCTGTTGAGAACCGCTGATGTCTCCTTCCGAGCCGACAGGGAACGTACAAATGCTCCTGACGACTCTGTTTTGCCTGTCCTTTTCTGGAAGCGACCTAGGCCGTCTTTGTCTGAAACTCCTTCCTCTTCCTCTGTGTAGGAACATTCTGAGAAAGCTGTGCTCATCCTGCGAACCCCCTTAAAGTCAAACGTTTTCTCACTACAGGGAGAAGAGAGCAGGCTGGGGCAGCCCTCACTGCCCCCTACACGCTCTCCTCCTCTTTTATCTAGACACAAGCTCATCCTAGGCAGAGACACCCTGCGGCATTCCCATTCTGAGATCTTTTTGCGGATTGTGGCGGGGGGAACACCTGCTACTGAGCGGGTGAGAGAAAGGGTGCGTCTGTGGCTTTGGCTGGAGGAAGGTCCCAGCGAGAGTGTGCTCCAGCTCAGGGGACGACCATTAAGTCCATCGCCCGAGGAGAGATCCCCTTGTTTCTCCTTCTGCTCCTGACTTTCCTGACAGGACTTGGTCTGACTCGGGGGCTTATAGATGGAGAGCCTGTTGTCCAGGCAGCTGATGCTCTTTGACTTGGTGAGACGGCCTTGGAAGTCGGTGTCACCTGTGAGAGACGCACCACTGCACAGGGTCTTGCTGCTCCAGCCAGCACGTACCAGGAACCTCCCGTCAGTCCTGACGTACCTGCTTTGCTTCCCAGAGTTCTCACCGTCGCTGAGGAGAGGCTGCTGGCTCTGCCCCTGACTGGCAGCGAGAGCAGGGCACGGCGATGTAGACTGGCACCTGAAACGAGACAGAGAAAGGTGTGAATAAAATATTGTAAATATTTAAATGTTTCCCTGAGGAGAAAACACATATTAATAACCAAAAGAGATGCCAACAAATCCACTCAGCCCCGCAGTGTGAAAAGCACTAGAAACTCAATAATGAACAGACGGAGAAAATTTGTAAAGATTCAGCTGAAAATTCTGAATTCATTTCCCAGATCAAAGACAAAAGGAAAACCTGAGCCACTTATTAAGAATAACCACAGGAAAGTATTCTGTCTTTGGCAGCATGGGATTAAAATTAAGGCCAAGGGAAATACAGACTACATTAAAATGCCACATTGGATTTTTCCACATTATCAAAATAACTTGAGGAAAATCACTGTGGACCTCACACAGAAAGCAGTGTGCCAAGCAGGATTTATTAAACGAGTCTTACCTGTTAAAGTCTCACTGCTCCTCTCTCATTGGTCCTCAAAGCCTTTTCTAAGTGATACTAGGTGCTACAGTTGTCCCACGCTCACTGCTGACTCGACCATCATTCACCACACACTAACACACACACACACTTTCTCACGGTGCTCACCTCCTTTAAGATTTCCAAAGAGAGACAAACTCTCCCTTTAGTTCCCCAACACCTTCCTACTCATAGTCTTTCAGGAACCTTGTCATGACTTGGATGCTGGCTAAGTCTTGCGAAATTAAAGTGCTGGGAGATCTGATGTCACTGCCATGGTTAGAATAACAAGCGTTATGGGAGGAGGAAGCGGAGGGCTGCGGACTGTGATCCAACAATGCAGGTTGGGACAGATCTCGCTTCACACCTACCTGCCCTTCCCTGGTTTCACTCCTCCTGCTCCAGGGAGGGGAGAATTTTTACAACATTCAGGAACCTGCAAGCTGCAAGCATGATGGATGCATCTTATCTTACTTCCCCCGGAGAAATATGAGACGTTGAGATGACGAATCATGACTGGAAATTTTTACTGCTGGTTTATCCTGAAGTCCAATTAATATATTTATGAGTACACAGTAGTTAAAACACTGTGACTCATCAGACTGATGAACTGATTCATTTATCAGTTTATATCTTTAGTTGACAAAGAAAAACTAAATAAAATACTGTTTTTATGAGGCAGGGTCCAATCATTGTTTACTGCTTAATATTTACTGATTGATATTAACTATGGGTTTGTCAGAATTCATGTCATATGAGTTAGGTTTTTTGGTGCAACAGCATTTTTCAGAAAAAAACATAATGTCTTACATATTATGTGACACTGCCAAAAACATGAATATATCGTCTGTTCTGAGCTCTGCAAATTTAATCTGCCATAACAAACACAATAACTTTCTAGCTTAGTTTAGTTTATTTCCATCCCTTTCCAACTTACAAAACACGAATATACTGGTAGGTAGACAATACATTAACATTAAGCTAATAATTTTTTTCCTTTTTCCTTAGCATAAAAAAACAGGACTGAAAATGTCTAGTCTGAAGCCTCAGCTTATCACACCTACCCTTTTCATATTCATTGTTTTGTCAGCTCCCTTTAAATTATACAGAGCAACAAGAAACTGACAGAACTAAGTATTTACATTATATATTTCCAAAACACAACAGTAGTTTCTTTTATCATTATTTAGCATTTATAAGCAGTATATAAACATGTAAAATGTGTAATATATGTGTTTATTAATGTACATTTTTTTGTTAATAATAAAAACTTCTCATATGAAGACATGTTTTATATTATTATCACTGTGTTTTACAATATTGTCAGTCATTATCTGTTTATATACCAGCCTCCACTCATGGGTCCCCACAGCCAGAGTTATAGCTATTCATACATTATTAATAAGAAATATGTGCATATAATAACATAGATAGATACTTTATAGTGTGTTATAAACAATTCAACCAGTGTTAATATGCTGCTTATGAATGCTAAATGGGGGACTTACAGTAAAACAATGCTGAGATTTTACCAGGAGGTATAACCTTTAATCTGCAATCTCATCTAAATCAAATAACAACCAAAGCTTCAGGTAGATCATTAAACCTGACTGTTGTTACAGTTACTATGGCTACTTGGTTTAGTTTGTTAGTTTAGTAAACAGGGGCCATGCGCAACACAAATGCTAAGCCAGAGTGAGGTATGAAGCTAAAACAATAGAGACATTACAGTACAAACAATTTAAAGCAAAGCTATTTGCAAATGTACAAACAGTACATCATATATAAAATGTCATACAAAATATGTGTCTCAATTTAGGGGCTGCGGGCGGCACGGTGGTGTGGTGGTTAGCACTCTCGCCTCACAGCAAGAGGGTTGCCGGTTCGATCCCAGGCGTGGGAGCCCTTCTGTGCGGAGTTTGCATGTTCTCCCCGTGTCAGCGTGGGTTCTCTCCGGGCACTCCAGCTTCCTCCCACAGTCCAAAGACATGCAAATTGGGGACTAGGTTAATTGATAACTCTAAATTGTCCATAGGTGTGAATGTGAGCGTGAATGGTTGTCTGTCTCTATGTGTCAGCCCTGCGATAGTCTGGCAACCTGTCCAGGGTGTACCCTGCCTCTCGCCCGATGTTAGCTGGGATAGGCTCCAGCCCCCCCCCGCGACCCTCAAAAGGATGAAGCGGATAGAAGATGAATGAATGAATGAATTTAGGGGCTGCAGCCACTGAAGGCACGGCCTTTGAAGACCACATCAACCAAAACCAATCGGTCTTCGAAATGGGACGGTCTAGTCTGCGGAAGATCTCCTGGTTGCATCACCAGCTGTTCAGTTGGCGTTCGTGTTACCTAGCAATGCTTGACGAAAGAGTAAGCTCGTAAGTTGATTAGCCCTAAATCATGGACCCAGGGATTTTTAATATATATTGTATATACATTTTTTTTTTTTTTTTTTTTTTTTTGGATACATGAGAAGATGATTCACCGCCGGAGACAACGCCATTTGATATATTTCAGGCTGATGGAGGACTGTTTTCAGGTAAACTTAGCTGTGTGCTTTTAGCTATAAGCAATGTTAACAACAGCTAATCATTAGCTAGTTAACAGCTCTTAGTTAATTAAACTTAATATATAATCATCAGTGCAACGCATCTTGGGATAGGCTGGGCCACGAAGGATTCATCCATTGCATCATCCGCACTCTGTTTCTGGGCCACATTTGAAGCAGCCTTCGAAATGGTACAGCCTTGGTTGCGCTGATGTGACGCCTTCAAATGCAGCCTTCGAAGGCTGAAGCCCCTGAACTGAGACACAGCTATAGTCTCAAAATAAAGCCGATTCAGTGCCCAGGTTTAGCTCTGTGATCACATGCCTGGTTTGTCTTGAGCTATGTTTTATGTCTTGTTTTAAAAATACGCAAACTTGTACTTCCCTTAAGGCTCTACACTGTAGCTGGTTTTCATGAGACATTACTTTATGTTAGGTCTATATTAAACATTAAACTTTGCTGTGAATAAATTAAGCTCTTATAATGATCTCACTGGAGTTATTAATGAAAATATAAACAAACATGAGCCTGAAAAGAGTTCAAAATAAACTCCAATCCCTCAATATATCCGTCTTTCATATTTGAAACTCTACAGTGAGTCACACAGGCCGTATGGTTTCATGAAGAAAATACTTTTTGAGCGCTCTGATATTAATCAGCAGTCCCGCACATGACATGTTGCAGTGCATCAGCAGGGAGCTATTAGAATGAGTCTGGCACGTTAAAATCCCACTGGTTCTCTGCTCAAACTCCCAACTAAACTTCTGCCAAGGAGTATGGCCAGAGAGGGAGCCATGTCTCTGAGGCGAAGTATCAATGGGAATGTTTTAGTAGCAACCAGACCAAACACTCAGTAATCTAAATCTAATGCCAGTAACAGTATGGTTTATTGAGTTAATCACAGCAATTTAAATTTTTTGCTCTTTGGTTTGATGACCACTGGAGTTAGAACATGGGAAGGATCCGGCGCCGTCTCCACGCATAGCCATGATTTCACCAATGTGACAGTAAACAAGTCATAAAAAGATGATGTAGACGAAAAGACTGGCTTCATGTTGTGAATGTGAATGTTTCACAGAGACTGCATCTATGTTTTGTTTTATATACTGAGTAGGGCTGGGTGATATGGCCTATGAATAATATCACAATATTTTTAAGCGATATTGCGATAAACAATTATCTCGATATTTTGAAATCTCCTCGCAACTACTGTGAACCACTAAAATGCTCAACTATTTAACAAACTACAATTACAGTACAGGCCAAAAGTTTGGACACACCTTCTCATTCAATGCGTTTTCTTTATTTTCATGACTATTTACATTGTAGATTCTCACTGAAGGCATCAAAACTATGAATGAACACGTGGAGTTATGTACTTAACAAAAAAAGGTGAAATAACTGAATACATGTTTTATATTCTAGTTTCTTCAAAATAGCCACCCTTTGCTCTGATTACTGCTTTGCACACTCTTGGCATTCTCTCTATGAGCTTCAAGAGGTAGTCACCTGAAATGGTTTCCACTTCACAGGTGTGCCTTATCAGGGTTAATTAGTGGAATTTCTTGCTTTATCAATGGGGTTGGGACCATCAGTTGTGTTGTGCAGAAGTCAGGTTAATACACAGCCGACAGCCCTATTGGACAACTGTTAAAATTCATATTATGGCAAGAACCAATCAGCTAACTAAAGAAAAACGAGTGGCCATCATTACTTTAAGAAATGAAGGTCAGTCAGTCCGGAAAATTGCAAAAACTTTAAATGTGTCCCCAAGTGGAGTCGCAAAAACCATCAAGCGCTACAACGAAACTGGCACACATGAGGACCGACCCAGGAAAGGAAGACCAAGAGTCACCTCTGCTTCTGAGGATAAGTTCATCCGAGTCACCAGCCTCAGAAATCGCAAGTTAACAGCAGCTCAGATCAGAGACCAGATGAATGCCACACAGAGTTCTAGCAGCAGACCCATCTCTAGAACAACTGTTAAGAGGAGACTGCGCCAATCAGGCCTTCATGGTCAAATAGCTGCTAGGAAACCACTGCTAAGGAGAGGCAACAAGCAGAAGAGATTTGTTTGGGCCAAGAAACACAAGGAATGGACATTAGACCAGTGGAAATCTGTGCTTTGGTCTGATGAGTCCAAATTTGAGATCTTTGGTTCCAACCGCCGTGTCTTTGTGAGACGCAGAAAAGGTGAACGGATGGATTCCACATGCCTGGTTCCCACTGTGAAGCATGGAGGAGGAGGTGTGATGGTGTGGGGGTGTTTTGCTGGTGACACTGTTGGGGATTTATTCAAAATTGAAGGCACACTGAACCAGCATGGCTACCACAGCATCCTGCAGCGACATGCCATCCCATCCGGTTTGCATTTAGTTGGACGATCATTTATTTTTCAACAGGACAATGACCCCAAACACACCTCCAGGCTGTGTAAGGGCTATTTAACCAAGAAGGAGAGTGATGGAGTGCTGCGGCAGATGACCTGGCCTCCACAGTCACCGGACCTGAACCCAATCGAGATGGTTTAGGGTGAGCTGGACCGCAGAGTGAAGGCAAAGGGGCCAACAAGTGCTAAACACCTCTGGGAACTCCTTCAAGACTGTTGGAAAACCATTTCAGGTGACTACCTCTTGAAGCTCATCGAGAGAATGCCAAGAGTGTGCAAAGCAGTAATCAGAGCAAAGGGTGGCTATTTTGAAGAAACTAGAATATAAAACATGTTTTCAGTTATTTCACCTTTTTTTGTTAAGTACATAACTCCACGTGTTCATTCATAGTTTTGATGCCTTCAGTGAGAATCTACAATGTAAATAGTCATGAAAATAAAGAAAACGCATTGAATGAGAAGGTGTGTCCAAACTTTTGGCCTGTACTGTACATTAAAGTTAAATAAAGTATGGTTATAATTAAAGGTAGGGGGAAAATCGATACAGCAATGTATCGCAATATGTTAAAAACACTTAATAATTTTATTTAGATGTCCTTACTTGGACTTGTAGGTTCACAATCCATGACTTGGTGACATTATTCAAATAAATTACATAAATGTTTGACTTGTTATATATTTAACTTTTGTGTACTTTGTGTCTTTTTTATGTTTTGTTTGTTTGCTTTGGTTCATACATTGTTACATATTTGCCACACAGCACTAAAATTTGATCTGTTTACAGAGCAGCAGATTCAATCCACAGCTAGGGTAAAATTAGCCACTGAAAAACAGATTTTATAATAACTAGGCTTCATTTAGCTAGGATGACTTATTGTGTAGTAAAACAGAATTTAAACTGCAGTACGAAGACCTCTTGATTAAACACAAAAACAAAATATGTGCAGAATTTCTGTCTATTTTAAGGCCGGGGATTTTCAGGGGGTTCTAGATCATGCTTGTAAAAATAAGTCTCGTTTAGTCAGCTTTAGCGGGGGCTGGCCACACATACTGAACATGGAGTAGGATGCCAGTCACAACCTGGCCTCTGGCTTTCACTCAGGCTTTCAGGGCATGCTAACCACAGGCCACTTCCTGTTACTGACCAGGATAGATGGAGCACACTGCTCAAACAAACAGCACTTCTGCTATTACCGTTCAACATATGTAAACTTTATCATCCATCAGAACCTGTTTATGAATTATCCAGCACAATTTTATTCAAGCCTTTGAGGAGTTTATTTGCTTGCATATAATTAAACAAAAGAAATTAGGTGAAAGAGTATTACTGAATGTATAAAACACAGCAGCCTTGAACTCTATCTCACACACACAGCCTTGTCAGCATGTTTTGTGTTGCCAAAACACCTCCCTGGATTACTTTTGAATCTGCTTATGATCTCAAAGGTGCAGGACATTAATTAAAATAATTCCCTCACAGAAGATCACAGAACAAGAATTAAACACACCCTACTTTACTTTTTTGTTTTGCTTTGTATTGCTTTATCCACCATGTTGCTGCATGTTGCCATGTGTGCCACTTGAGGCTACACAGTTCAGTGAAGGTGTAATTTGTCCTAGAAATTCCTCCCTGGTTGATCTCTAGTTTGGGGGAATGCATTGTGTAGCATTATCCAACACAACTAATTTCCCTCCATCTGTTTAAACAGGGGAGTTGCAAAGCATCTCTGTGATCTTTACGAATCTAGGGTACCATGAGCCCATGAGGACGGCAAGCTGTTAATAAGGCTCTGCTAGAATGACAATTAAATTTATCAAAAGAGGCTGAGGTTAAATGCACAATAATCATGTCAGAGGGATGCGGCCAGCGGGGTGAGAGAGCTCTGTGCTACTGTGATTAGTGTCTTCCTCACATTTACATTCACCGACTTTATCCTAGGAGTAGTGGTGGAGGTGAACATTTACCAGCAAATGATTGCTATTTTTCTCCATCATAATATTAACACTTGTGTGGTTTGCCACTTCCACTAGGCCTAATTTACACCGCAAGCCATTACAGAAACCAGCTGGCACAGCTTACGTTATGTTTTGCGGTGTGTGAAATATTGTCCCGTGTGTGTTTACCACCACTGCCTCATCAGCACAGAAAATCAGGAAAGAATTCATAAACAGCACTGCCAGTCAAACAGTAGCATTACTATGTTACAATACAGATAGCAGCACCATTACCAACAATCATTCTGCTCAGAATCAGCCATCAGGCCGTCACAAGTTAGTGCGAGAGCATGAACACAGACTATATTTCACAGCTGTGAAGTACAAGGATCATGTGTAACTACTGTATGTGAGATGAAACCAGCCTGCCTGTTCCTAAAAACACTTTCTGGTTTAAAGAAAATGGACAGGATGATAAATTGTAAGAACTAATAGTCTAGATATCGCATATCATCCCCAAAGTTTGTTTTTCTCTCCCAGCAGGACATTGTCAGCTCTCAACATGCTAACACAAGCTTCAGCTCTCTACTCACAGATCTGAGCTGGATGGGGCCCTTGTCCAGGATACAGGATCGTACTTGCCAAAGCTTTGGAAGTCTTATCATGGCAGAAAATCATCAGTCAATCTTTCCCACGGGTGGAAAAAAGAAGAAAAACTACAACAAACTGAGCTTCGATAAGACAGACATAGTTGAAGATGAATAAACTGATATTAAGCACAGCACTTGATTTTCTTTCTGTCAGATAATCTGAAACCATGTGACTTAACTGAGAATGCACATTAACCAGCCCACCCCTGATGTCCCACATGTCACTGACCTGTCGGGGATGTCCCGCGGAGCTTTACCCCCTCCTGCACGAGGCGCAGCCTTCGAACTCTTGTTGGCAGTCATGTTTGTCTGCAAACCGCCCACTCACCTGATGGACAAACACAAGGATGTGAGACATTCGAAAAAGCCGCAGCATTCCTCACATTTCAATAAGCAAATAAACATGAAGTCATACTGCAAGCTCTTTGAAGGCTGTCTGGCTTTGTAAGTGAGCATTATTAGGAATTCAGACTGTGAATAAAGACGTAGTTCACTGATGGAGAGATGGTCTTTTAATAAAACTGGGCTGTTTCCAGCCAAAATTAGCCGGATGACTTGTTTGGGATCATTCAGCAGATTTGAGCTGGGAGATGAGCAGGGAGATCTGGGTGCTGGTAAGATGGAGAGAAGTTTCCCATCTCTTTACAGGCTATTACTAAAATATTAAATGGACATAGGCTTAGTAGATTCACAAAAGCAAATCCAATCCTGTCATGAACATGAACTTTAATCCAGAGCTATATCAAAAACAAGATGGCCAACATTCCTATAAGACCACAGCTAGGTCCCAAAACAAAATTGGGTGTGCCAACAGTGAGAATAGGTCAACTCATGTTACTTGGCTTTGCAGCTGCACTCACCACCTGGCTTTAATGTAGGTCTGACACTGCTTAACTTTGGCATCAAGGAATGATCACAGGTTCCAACAATAACAACAGGACTTTTATAGGAAATAATAGACTCAATAAATAAACCTATGGTGCCTATTGGCTTAATTTGACACAGTTGACTTTTCTCAATCACAGATTAACATGAGAGTAGGGTAGAAAGGTAGTTATTACATTTGGCAACTTTTCATAAGGCAAGCGAATAAAAAAAAAAATCCTACAAAGCAGCACCTCACTTTACCACTGGTGCCATGTTTAATCTTTAGTGTCAACACTGCAGACGAATTTCAACAAACTAAAAGTAAGTGGCATAGCTAAGACAACATGTAGATAATGTTGTGCCAAAGAAAAGGGCACAGCTATTCCTTCATAAGAAAAAAAGTATATTTTCATATCAAACAACACAGACATTACATTGCTGCAATGAAACCGCTTAACTGACAATATTAAAACAAGCTCCTGATCCACATTTGGAAAGCGGAAAGCTATTTCAAATGTCTGCTACCCTCTGAATAATGGCAATTAGGGATGGGCATCAATTTTCGATTATCGATGATTGATTGTTAAGGCTTTTGATCGATCACAAATAATTTTGATCGATAGTCGCAGTGTTTCCCCTACAATGCCTGGCATAGGTCCGGCGAGCCGCCATGCCAACGAGACCCCCCGCCCGGCGAGGACGGCGGCTCAACGGGCCTACAAGACCCCCGCTGGACCTATGCCAGGCAAAAAAAATCAGAAACAGACGGAGGCTGTCATTGCTCTCCAAAGCCTCGGCGGCTTCCCTTGAGGCCTTTGAAAACACTACGCCATTGAAAGACGGAGGTTTTGCTGAAAACTGAAGCCTGTAACTCTGGCTGGCAACGGTTGTAAACACCTAGGGGTGAACTGCGCATGTGCGCCATTCTTCCTCTTTGGCCTGGGGGGTGAAGCTCAAAACTGGGGCAGCTGCGCTTTCTTGCGGCGACAGTCTGCACTGCACTCTTTTGTTTTCTCTCTTTTGAAATACTCGCTTATCAAATAATCGATAATTGATCGTTAATTTTTTTGATGATCGAATAATGAATTTTGATCGTTTGCCCATCCCTAATGGCAATAACTAGGAGAATATGAGTTATAACTGACCAGTTTGATGAGTGCCTGGACAATGAGGGTTTGTTATTTTGTAGCTATTTTGTGTTTGTTGTGCTCGATTTCATCAAGCTAATGATGGTGGGATTGCTGTGAGTCTGCTGCTGCACTTCAGCACATGTTAATTTCAGAGGGCTGCAGACCTGCTGACTTCAAGTGGCTGCTGATACAGTGCTTTTACAAAGTCTAAAAGCAGCGGCAGATAACAGAGACCGTCTAATTGAAGGGTCAGTTCAATTAAATCACAAAACAAAACACATTTGCTCACTTATTCTTAGTGATATTTAGTATAGCCTGACAGTTATAGCTGTAGTCAACCAAAAAAAAATCTTAGTCAACTGAAATTGTACCAACTCCTCAACTAATTGACTGGTCAATACTGAGGGGGAAATCTACAGGTTATGTCTAGATTAAGGTAGCATTATGTGTCCACCAAACATTTTTCCTAAAGCCTGCAGATTTTTAAAATTCTTTGCCATGAGAGCGCCACGTATTTCCACTAGGCTACAAACACCAGCAATGTGACAAGGCGCTGAGTGTCTATTCTGTGCTGAGCCCTGCACATTTGGCATTTGTTTTCTGGTTACCAATAGCTGATACTTTGGGTAAAATGCTACATTTGTCACTATCATTTTTGTGCAGCTGTCCAATCACAGTGGAGGAAGGGCTGGACAAACACCACAAGGACCATCTGTCACATCCTACATGTACAATTGCTGAACAACAACAATGAAGGAGAAATTAATAGTGCTAACCACAAAGACCAGCAGGTCTGTCCTCTCTCTCTCTCTACATGCTTCAGACTTCCCTTCATCCAAAGCAAGGACCAGAACAAGTACTCTACCCTGCACCAGAAACCAGATGCAAACAAAGTGTCTCAGCTGAAAAAATGCTGCACCATCAAAGCACGGCATCACTCCCAGCTGAGCCTCATGACAGTAACACCAAGAATCGTCCAACTAATGAGAATTTCAGCAGACAAAAGCATACCAATCGGTGAACTAACCAAAAGGTATTAGCTCTACTGACAATTCTGATTTTTTTTTTTACTTTTACTGATGTATCTGCCATAAGCTCATATTGGGCAATAGGCTTTGTCGGTTTAAGGTATATCAAGGTATTTAGAAATCCCAAATGTAGGACTTTCAGTACTATCAAAAATACAGATGTTCCTCTATCTATTAAACTCATACGGAGATGCTGTATTGAGGATGTATTTTATGTAGTGCACATCACCAGCCACCAGGGGTCAGTCTTTACTGGTAGAAAAGGCAACTGAGCTGGGCAACATGGTGACTGCAAATGGTGGGGATAGCATTAGATGCTCTGTCAAGAACCACACACTAATACAAAATACTCAAAAGATTTAAGAAAGTTAAGAAAAAATAGATAGCCTACCACCCACGCCTATTGGGCGATATGTCAGCCTGGGAAATTTATCTGTCTAGCTCTACTATCTAACTATGCAGATAGTTCTGGCTTTATTTTCCAAATTTGGTGATACTCAACTCTGAGATTTCTGCCCCTACCATAATATAATGGAGTTGAACATGTTTAAAGCATGCTCTCACAGATGCACGGTGTTATTACTTATGGACTGTGAATCCGTTTCAGTATAAATAAACTACTCAACACTTAAGAGTCCTAACAGCAGACAGAACTCTTAAGACATCTTTCTTATAATAAACATTTCCTGGACTTCGTCTCAAATTAGAGCAGCAGCTTGTTCAAACTGTTGGCCATTGCCCCTGAGAATCACTTTCTGAAATGCAGCAATGACCCTTTCAAAAAGGCTCAAAGTGATTGTTCTGGTGCATAAGGAGGTCAAATGGAGATCCCTAGGGATCAGAGGTGGAGGATGGGAGGGTGCTTGGCAGCATGGCTTGTTTACAGGAAGTTGTTGTATGAAGAAGCCAGCCAACCAGTGGTGGAGCTGAGTCCTATAGAGACAGATGAGGAGAGAGGGAGCATTCCTGCTGTCAGCTATTTCCTGTAACTGTGGACTGTGCAAAGAGGACAGGGCATGCATCATTATTGTCATCAAAGAATGATGTTGTCCTGTCCTACATATAACTCTCTATGAAAACCCCTTACACTTAAAGTGTGTTTTTACACACAAAAAGGAACAAAAAAGCACATGAACACCAGGACTATAATTTCTGTGATGCAGGAACACTGCAGGATTGAAAACTATCGAGACACACATTAACCAGTGTGTCAAATTTACAGGTGGCATTTGTTACAAAGTTTCTTAAATGATTATAAATTAGAAAGCCTTGGTCACTTCTGGAACAAGAAGCAGATGATCGTCCTGTGAAAATACTTTCTGGATAGTGAAAGGGAACAAAAATGAGCTAGATAATTTATCCCTGATTGCATGATAAAACAAAACAAATCATTCTGGAAAGGCGCAATAAAAAGGAAATTGAGACAAAAATAAGCAGAGTTTAAGAAATACAATCTTTCATTCTCTAAATTAAACCAAATGAAAATACTCTGCTTACATAAAATTCAGACATACTGGCAGCTGTGTGAAATCTTGCGTCTGATTAATACCTGCTGAAAAAATACTTCATGTTTTTGGAGTGACATTCGATATTCTCTCTCTGACTGAAAACATGAAGCTTCTGTCATTTCAATTTGTAACACTTTAAAGGAAACATACAGAGATTAGGGAAAAAGCTGCTATCAGCTGCCAGAAGTGAAGAAAATCAAACTATTTAAAACTGTGTTGGCCCTACACACTTCATTAATATTAAGGAATGGTTATTAGTATGAATTCAACATTTTTAATTTTTTGAACTGGGAAAGCTACAATCACAGAAATGGGTCATAGAGGCCCAAGATGGACTCTGCAGTGTAAACACCAAGGCGTTAGCCCACTGACTTCCTGAGGTCTGATACCATCTCCCTACACAAAATCACAGGCTGTAAACAAGCACTTCTAAGAAAGCTCTAGAGTACCTTTAAAGTGCATTCAACCAGATTCAAGACAAATTTTCTCTTGAGATGACAGAGCCAACGGTCAACAGTGAGAAGTCAACCGCTTCATGCCGATCAATTAGTGTTAGCTTGTTTGGTTTTGTCTCGTATATATGACTGCATGAAGAGACGTGAATGCATATGTGCACACTTTGGCCTGAGGGTGTTAGGAAATTCAGATTTTGTTGCTCTATACATCAAATACAAAAGTTCATTTGAGTGAATGTTGTAGTATGTTGCAAAAAGTGCGTACATTCCTCACAATATCTCACAGGATGCAATCATTTTAGTTTCAGACTTTTCAGGTTCTCCATAGTGCACATTGATA